CGCTGGTTCTAATACAGTTTGTACAGATTGGACCGTCTTTGCACCACGCTTAAAACAGAAGCACCTGTGCGGCTGCCTTGATACATGTGTTTGGAATGTCATGCACATAATACTGTATTAGGGAAACTGAAGCAACGGAAGCTGTTGTATGAACGTGTCATGTACTTGTACATATGTGTTCATACTTGGGACCCGGAAATTTCAGTATCTGGTCCGTGGCCATTTTGCTTCAAGTTTCCCCTGATTCGTTTGCCCACCACCATCCCCATACACCACCACTGTGTGGTCTAGGAGGTGGTGCTTTTGGAACTCCCCACCTCTACTGGTTGACCCCAACATACCCCGGTCTTTGGGTTGTTGACTGGTGTCATTTTCAATGGGGGGCTGTTTCTTTGTCTAACTGTACCATCATTGGACCCGCTGGTTCTAATACAGTTTGTACAGATTGGACCGTCTTTGCACCACGCTTAAAACAGAAGCACCTGTGCGGCTGCCTTGATACATGTGTTTGGAATGTCATGCACATAATACTGTATTAGGGAAACTGAAGCAACGGAAACTGTTGTATGAACGCTCGTTTTTGCTCTTGGTGTTTGGGGTTGTTGCGGTTTGGCCCGCTTTTTCCTGGCTTTGCCCCCTCCTGCCCCACCCCTCTCGGTTGGTCCTCTGGTGCCTTCTGGTCCAGTCAGTGCTCTGCTGGTCCCTCCCTCCGGGTGTCTGGGTGTTGATCAGGTGCCCCTCGCTCCTACACCGAGGTATTCGCCCTTGGGTGATCCAGAACCCCCTTTAGGACACCGTTAGAGCTGCACGCGCCCGCCTTCTTGCCTCCTGTCTCTGCTGCCTTCCCGGGCGCCCTCTCTTTCCCGTCTTCCCCCACGCCCCTTTTCTTCCGTTGGTTCTGCCCGCTTCGCTGCCTTCTGTCCTGTTTGGTGTTGTTTGCTTCCCCCTCTTTTTGGCTTGGCCTTTTCTTGTGTTTGTGTGGTTTTTCCTGTGTTGTTTGTCTCGCTCTCTTGGTTTTGCGTTTTGTTCTGGTAGGCTTCGCCTCACGTCAGCTAACTGAGGTGACTAAGGATGGCTGAGGACCGTCGACCCCAACAACACACAGACACAGCCGCCACTTTGACTTCCTCCCTCTCTTTTTTTGGTTGGAGGTTGGTTTGTCCCTTAATTCGAGCGCCTTTTCCCGGTTCTGCAGACAATCCTGGAGAAGAAGTGGACCAGGGCGACTCGGATCACAGCCCACCATCACCCGTCCAAGCTGGATCTGTCAGTGGTTTTCGCCCCCCGACTGCCCAGCAAGTCACACCGGGGGTGCTGCGAGCATCACCCAGGAGGAAATGAAGAGTCATCCCATTAAAGGGGTCATCTTAGTCAGCGAAGCCTTCACAGAAGCTGTTGACACCAGCGAAAACCCCGAAAAGGTTTAGGTGACATTTCAATACCCGGTTTGGGTCGGAGTTCCAGTTCTGACATCGGTTTAGAGACATCTTTAGAATTCTTTAGACATCTCTTGGCATTGTTAGACATGTTAAGGTTTGGCCACTTAGGACTCTCTTTTTTGGAACATGGATTTGGGGATACCGCAAAATTTCTATCCGTGCCTCATCTTCGGGATTCAACTTATGTTGAAAAGGTCCAAGGATCAACTTCGATACCATGAGGGCATCTATGGCCCAAGCACTACAACATCGATTGGAGAAGTACCACTAGAGTCAGTGTGTCATGTGTATTTTCTCCAGAGTCAAGACTGCGGTTGATGAAAGTCCATGTCTCAACTTGAACTGATCAACAGGGCCACCAAACTCTAAGAATGGTACAAGACAGGCTTCTTTCTCCAGGAACATGGTTTTGACATATATATATATACATAGAAATGATGGGATAGAATATACTTTAAGGTCCGAAATCAGATGGCGGTGTTATCGAAATAACAATTTTATAGCAGCAAAAATGATGATAAACCACTCGATTTTTGGGTACTTTCCAATGTTGAGACATGCCTGAAAAAACGCCCATTCGGGCTTTGGACACAGGCGTTGTGTGGTCTCCCTGCATGTCTCGGCCATGAGGCTGTTTTTTCTTCGATTGCGCAGGCTCATTGTATCTGTATCGCTGAAGATGCTCCATGAAGTCATACTCGCCGGCATGGGCCAGTGATAGCTACGGCGCCCAATGCCAAGCAATTTCCAGGCGAACCTCCAACATTGGGCACTTACAACTTCAATCACTTCTGGTAACGTCAACCCATGTCAACCCATGTCAACCCATGACAGCTAAAAACTTTTAGTTTTTCAATAGTTAAGATCCCCAAACCTGTGATCATTCTAATTATAACAGTGCAACTCCCTTATTTTTACGGTGTTTCACTTGGTGTTTCACTGGTTCATTCCATCCAAACTTTTCCACCAGGGCCGTAAAACACAGCCCGTTTTAGTGGTGCGCCATGTCGGCCTCCAAATTGGAGAAGACCGTGGTGAATTTGGAACGACGCCTCAGAGAGGCGGTGGGGTGGGGTTCCCATGGAGGTCTGGAAATAGGAAGAATCATTCAATGTGAGGCCCCCAAGATAGCTAAGTTGTTTTATAACTCCAATAACTATGGTTTATGATACTTATAACTATAGTTACTGGGTCTTATAAACCAACTTATAACTGGGGGGCCTCACATTGTAGCTGGTATACCCAAATGTTGATGGATATTTCCATTGCTATAATAGCTGGTAACATTCAATGGCAAATTTCCATTGCTATTGGTATAATTGCCATTGGTATAATTTGGTTTGTATGGACTCATACCTGGTATCACCCCAATTATAGCCATTTTTCATGTCGGGAAAATAATCCAATGGATCTAGAGGTAGCATATTTTCAGACCCAGCCACACTTCGATGAGACAGGAAAACAGTGGGAGATTGACCAAGAAATATGGAGATGTTGCGGTATCCATCCTTGAAAAACATGTGCAACTGGCAGTTGACAGATGCTTAAAACCAGTTGTGGTCATTTTATCCAACAGGTCCAACAAAGGGATTGAAACAAGTTGAATAAAATTGGTTGGATTCTGGGTGATATTTCCTGGCGGGACTGTCATCTTTGACCAGAAATATCTACCCAATCCTCCCATGATTTCAGCCACAAATCGGTTCGGATTTCCTGGGGATTTCCATCGGTTGCGACCTGGGTCCTGGGCACCTGGGTGAATTGTAGCGACACCATGGCACCATGAATTTTCAATGATGGTCAACAGGTTGAAGCGCATCAACATCGCCAAACATTTCAGGATCCCACTTGGAAAATGTATACGCTGGAGTAGAATGGGTTCTATTGGTATGAATCAATCTTGAATACCCCACGAGGGTGTTAATTGCCATCCCCAAATTTAGACTGTTGTGTTCATTTTTGGGAGTGAAAACCAGGGCACCGCGATTGTTTAGAACTTATGATTGATGTCGAAAATTGGGCCAACCGCACCTCTACCTGCTTCAAAGCGCAGATGGGTTTCATATTCTTATGGTTCGAGTAAAAATATGACTGTAGCAGGCCCAAAATGGACGGTGAACTATACTAAAACATCCAAAAACCCATGCCTTTTTGTGGGTAATTTGGTGCCATAGAACCCATGTGCATAGCCATATGTTGGTTTTTAGGATGGTATCTTCCCCTGCTTGTGAACATCTCGGAGTTGTTGCCAGAACCCGGACAAGTACAGCTAGAGAGCCAGGCCAGGATTGGTTGAGGTGACTGGAAATTCACCTTTTAAAAAACAAACGCAGAGATTTGTGCAAATATGGGTAGGAGTGCAACATGTCATAGTTTTGCATTCATGAGATATTCTCCGAGTTAGAAGTACGTATTACACTGTAAGGACTGGTCGGTGAGCAAAATGTGTAGCTGCTTAGTCTTGCGTGTTTTGAAATTGGGGGCCCTTTAATCCCATGCTTCATTCATCATTGTTCCACATGGATTTTCTTTTTTTGTCCCTCCAAAATTCCACTTGTCGATGTCATGGGTGCTGATTTTTTTCGCAACCATCATATCATTGCAACATGGAAAACCTTAAGCGCGGCGCAATCCTTTGATCAAGGACAGTATAGATGGCTTAAGGGGCCCAATGCAATTGTCTGGGACGGTCAAAGTTCAGAGCCAATGTCCAGTATCGTAACACAGTGACATCAAAGCATTCCGGCCAACGTTCACTGTTGCAGCCATGGAGGAGGAGATCAAAAAGCAGGTCCGCATCTACAGAGACATCGAATCCAAATTCAAGGAGGAGGAGAGAATTGGAGCTGCCCTCTTTGTGCTGAAAAACAAAAAAGGCATTGACCAGAACAAACGTGTTGACCCGAACCAAGGTGCTGCTGGTGCTTTGGCAGAATTGGCATCCCAGGGTGCCGCGAACAAGCGGCTCATCGAGACCAGCGGAGGCATTCCGCTCCTGGTTGGGCTGCTTCGAGACGTGCTCCAAGACAGGGATGGCAGGGAGTTCTCACGGGAGGAGAAGATGGCCGCAGCACACGTTGCAACAGCTTTGCATTTTTTGAACGAGGACTCCCAGGTCGCTGCCATCGCGGCCTGCGGCGGCCGTCGACAGCTGGAGGCCTACCTCAACAGCCCCATTGACAAATCTGGCCGCGAGTTTTTCGCTCAGCAAGTTCTGCAGCGGTTGCCTCCAGAGATCCCAGTCCCAGCGATCCCGAGTGGTGAAGGAACGAGGGTGGCGATGTTTTCGGCTCGTTTTGATGGAGGACCCGTGGAAGAGATACTTGGACTTGTTTCCGCATTTTTTCTTTTCAATCGTTTGGTTTGATTTGGAACATTTCAAACATTGCAACATGGGGTGTTGTCCGAAAGGCCCCAAATATTTTGAGGAAATTTCGCAAAGTCTACAGCATACTCCGGGATCACAAGTACGACGTGCTCATGGTCGCTGCAGACGCTGGAGAGAGTTTTGCTGATTTGACCACAAAATAACTTGGTCGACTGCACAGAGAACAGGGCACCATGCTTGCAGTATGCACCAAACATTATGGCGAAATGACCGATTCGGCTTACTCCTCGCATAAGGAGCTGAAATTTGCACTTGACTATGAGAAGTTTGTGAGAGTCTTGCCACTGAAAGTCGAAGACACATACCCACCACAGCCACCAGGTGGCCCGGGGCACAAGTATGATAAGGAGTTTTTAGCTCAAAGCTACATTCTCAGTGTTTTCAAGCCCGGTCTTGTTCGCTTGGATTGCCAAGACAAATCCGAAATAGACATCGCGGTTGATATTGCCACGAACCTGCAGAAGTACAGAGTGGCCACACGAGCGGGCTACCATTGAGACTCGTTTAACATCAGATCTTCCTTTAGGATCATTCGGGTAGCATGGTCAAGATCACCCCAAATGGTGAATTACTGTACTATCCCAAGGACAACTTAGGACAAGGAGTGTTTCCATTTTTGGGACAAGACATACAAGACCATGGTACCTTTGGGTGACCTGACCCATACCTGCCAGGTGTTTCACCCTATGTTTCATTGTGGTCTCACCTAAAAGCCACTGACGTTTCACAGTGGTGATGTCGAAAACACGACACGGAACTTGCAAGGGGAGCGATCTCCCCATGATTTGAAGGTGGGTTTTTATGGGAAAACTCTTGCTTTTGAAAGATTTCTTCGTTTTTGTTGATCAACAATGATTAACATAGATGACCCCATATTTTCAACATTTGTCTTGGTTTGTTGGATGGCAGCTAGTGTGTCATAGTGTTAGCCAGCACATATGGGGGCATTTCAGTTTGTTGGATTTCACATCCCAAGCCCAGAAAGCTGGGAGCTTGGGGATGCTTCGAAGAGGTTGTTGTTTGGAAAGCGAACTCGAAAACCTTTGAGGAGTTGATGCAAGATGGATGACCGCGAATCGGGAGCTAAGAATGTGTTGGGGAAACAAGAAACCATAAGAAGCCTCCCATCCTGAAAGGGTGTGAATCGCGAATCATGGCAGCAGTTGGGGCTTCATGAGGCAATCGAACCCAACAGCACTCAAGTGCATTGTGCCCTGCTAAAAACGAACAGCTAATGCCCTTTAGGTTGTGGGTTTGAAGATGGCTTATCTTTTAGGATAGTACCTTAGGTAGGGTTGGTGATAGTTTTGATGCCAAATGATATGCTGCCATCTCGTTTTTTCGACATGGGTCAAAAAGTTCATAGTGTGCAGAATAGTCAAACTTCCGAATCCCATTCTTTTGGTCACATCCCATTGGATAAGTCTACTCATCTATTTTTTATTGCCGGTCAAATTGCATTTTTTGTCAGTGAACAAAACCATTTTTGATCATTTTGGTGGTTTAACACCCCAGCTGTTGGTTGAAACCAATTTTTGCGCCAGGCGTGGGAAGATGTGAGAGATTGAGATGATGAAAGAAGCAACTTCTGCGATGGGATCGCTAAAGGGTCTCCAGCGCATCGTTTTTCTTGCTTTTGGATTTTCTTGGTATGTAACCCTCCACGAAAAAACAGAAAACTTATAGAAAACGATATCTTACGATATCACATACATCATTTAACACGAAAAGCGTTGGGGTCATTTGTTCCCAGAATCTTGAATTGATCAGCTCTGGGGTTCAATTCTGGGGTTCACACCCGATCAGCTGTTGACACCAGCGAAAACCCCGAAAAGGTTTAGGTAACATTTCAATACCCGGTTTGGGTCGGAGTTCCCGTTCTGACATCGTTTTAGAGACATCTTTAGAATTCTTTAGACATCTCTTGGCACTGTTAGACATGTTAAGGTTTGGCCACTTAGGACTCTCTTTTTTGGAACATGGATTTGATACCGCACAATTTCAACGTGCCTCATCTTCCGGATTCAACTTATGCATCTGTTGAGAAAGTCCAGTTGGATGTTAAACTTCGATACCATGAGGGCATCTATGGCCCAACCACTACAACATCGATTGGAGAAGTACCCGTAGAGTCAGTTGATTCTCACGAGGTTAAGCGTTAAAAAGATGTGTTGCTGTGCACTGAGCAACTGTTGCAAGAATGGCAAGTGTGTAATGTTTATTTTCTCAGAGTCAAGACTGCGGTTGATGAAAGTCCATGTCTCAACTTGAACTGATCAACAGGGCCACCAAGCTCTAGGAATGGTACAAGACAGGCTTCTTTCTCCAGGAACATGGTTTTGACATATATTATATAGAAATGATGGGATAGAATATACTTTAAGGTCCGAAATCAGATGGCGGTGTTATCAACATAACAATTTTATAGCAGCAAAAATGATGATATCTGATAAACCACTCGATTTTTGGGTACTTTCCAATGTTGAGACATGCCTGAAAAAACGCCCATACGGGGTTTGGACACAGGCGTTGTGTGGTCTCCCTGCATGTCTCGGCAATGAGGCGCTGTTTTTTCTTTGATTGCGCAGGCTCATTGTATCTGTATCGCTGAAGATGCTCCATGAAGTCATACTCGCCGGCATGGGCCAGTGCAAGATAGCTACGGCGCCCAATGCCAAGCAATTTCCAGGCGAACCTCCAACATGGGGCACTTACAACCTCAATCACTTCTGGTAACGTCAACCCATGTCAACCCATGTCAACCCATGTCAACCCATGACAGCTAAAAACTTTTTGTTTTTCAATAGTTAAGATCCCCAAACCTGTGATCATTCTAATTATAACAGTGCAACTCCCTTATTTTTACGGTGTTTCACTTGGTGTTTCACTGGTTCATTCCATCCAAAGTTTTCCACCAGGGCCGTTAAACACAGCCCGTTTTAGTGGTGCGCCATGTCGGCCTCCAAATTGGAGAAGACCGTCGTGAATTTGGAACGACGCCTCAGAGAGGCGGTGGGGTGGGGTTCCCATGGAGGTCTGGAAACAGGAAGAATCATACAATGTGAGGCCCCCAAGATAGCTAAGTTGTTTTATAACTCCAATAACTATGGTTTATGATACTTATAACTATAGTTACTGGGTCTTATAAACCAACTTATAACTGGGGGGCCTCACATTGTAGCTGGTATACCCAAATGTTGATGGATATTTCCATTTCTATAATAGCGGGTAAGATTCAATGGCAAATTTCCATTGCTATTGGTATTGCCATTGGTATAATTTGGTTTGTATGGACTCATACCTGGTATAATGTGGTTAAAACAATGCCATAAACCACCCATTTGGGAATGGCTTATACCACCTATAAAAATGGTGATTTGGGGGATGGTTTATGATTGTTTTAATTTGTTTTAACCACATTTTTCATGTCGGGAAAATGATCCACTGGATTTAGAGGTAGCATATTTTCAGACCCATGGAGGCCACAGTTCGAGACAGGAAAACCGTGGGAGATTGACCAAGAAATATGGAGATGTTACGGTATCCATCCTTGAAAAACATGTGCAACTGGATGCTTAAAACCAGTTGTGGTCATTTTATCCAACAAAGGGATTGAAACAAGTTGAATAAAATTGGTTGGATTCTGGGTGATATTTCCTGGCGGGACTTTCATCTTTGACCACAAATATCTACCCAATCCTCCCATGATTTCAGCCACAAATCGGTTCGGATTTCCTGGGGATTTCCATCGGTTGCGACCTGGGTGGGGCACCTGGGTGAATTGTAGCGACACCATGGCACCATGAATTTTCAATGATGATTATCCTCTGGTAATTTGACATAGCTATTGAAAATGACCATTTATAGTGAGTTTTCCCATAAAAAATGGTGATTTTCTATAGTTATGTTAGTTTACCAGAGGGTAACAGGTTGGTCAGCGCCTTCCCATTTCAGGTTGGTGAATCATTGTCATTGAACCAGATTAGATTACCGTAAATCTTAGCCTCTGGTAAATTAACGTTTTTCTATGGAAAGATCCACCATTATTATTTGGTAAATCAACTATAAATGGCAATTTCAAATAGCTACGTTAAATTACCAGAGGGTATATTATATACATATAATTTAATATACATATACATGGCAGTGGCAACACAACTAGCATGTCCAGAAACGAACAAAGGAATCATGTTCGCATAGGCCTATGATCAGTAGCTCATATCAATCATCAAAACACAGTTGTCCTGATCATTTCTGCTTATATGACCAGGTTTGTTGGTTCACCAACGATAGTTTGTTGGTTAGCTGCCCCACATATTTTGTCAACTCCTCATCTCCCTACAGTTGTTTGTCCGATCATCCAATCCCCATAGTTACAATGGTCCAATAATCCAGTAAACATTCTTCAACAACGGGGATTGGACTATTTGGTGAATTGGATAAAAATGGTCAAGTTGGATTATTGGTGAATTGTTTTTTTTTTTTCTGGTGATTTACCCATAATCAACCATACCATGGTCAATAGAGTCAATAATCAAGCATATTGAATGATCCAATTATTGCTATGGTTTACTGGCAATTACCAGTAATCCAATGGCAACTATAATGAATGATCCTATTATTACTATTATTCACCAGTTTTTTCTATGGCAACTATTTTATGGCAATTACCAATAATCCAATGGTCAAGTTGCCATCGAAAAAACTGGTGGAATTTCGATCCCACCGGGATGATCTTGGATCGAATTTCATCATCGCAGGAGTTCCAATTGGAGATCCAGCGACAAACGGCGCGGTTGCTTCGGCCCTTAGGTCTGCCTTTGGCAGCCAGTTGCCAGTTCTATGCCAGTCGAGCATAGCCAAAAGCTATCTCGTTTGATGGCTAGTTGTTGGGTGCCAAGTGGCTTAGTGGGGAATGTTGAAATCATCATCCTCAAACTTTGGCAATCCTAGTTTTCATGACGTAATAATGTTCAAGACCCCAGTGAATCATGTTGGATGGCGATACTATTTGTTCATGACACTCCCAAATTTTCATAGTTGGCACCTGAAACATGTTCCCCTAAGATGAAATTCCTACTGGATCCTATGGGGGTTTCCTAAGTCATAGTACCCCAGTTCTCATCCCAGTCATGGATGACTGGATGACCATTTTGGTCTTGAAACCTACCCTCTGGTTATGTCAAAATAGTTATTGAAAATTGTGATTGATAGTGGATTTTCCCATTAAAAATGGTGATTTTCCATAGTTTTTTGTATGTTTACCAGAGGGTATGCTTTTGGGGATCCAGGCCTTAAGAAACGACCCCTTTTTTGGCCATTTCTGGGTGCCACGCCGAAGTCACTCAGGCTGTCATCAAGGCTGCTGGCGCTGGAAGTGAAGCTGAAGGGTGAGATCAATGTGGACTTCGAGCCACATGAGAAGGCAGAAATCTGGGAACATGGTGGTTCAAACATGTGAATTTAATGGAAGGTCGTATCATTTGGCATCATTAATCATCATTAACCCACTAGAAAAGATCAATAGAATTACAAGATCAATTCTGTAATGTCAATAGAAGGATATCATTGCAAACATTATATATATATATATACATACACCTAATTGTGTACGTATTATCTCATCTGGGTACAGTAAATAATTAGTATAGTGACCTCACGTCGTGACCTCACTGGAATCATGGTTAGGATTGGCGTTTTTTTTCCCCAATGTAGCCTCATTTCAGGATAGCAAATTAGGGTAATTTACCCAGAGCCCATGATATTGATCTCATGGGAGGTTTTTCTGGGAATATCATCCGCTGTTACTGGTAACAATGGGGATATTTTCTGAGAATTTTCCAGAGTTGAAGCATCAAAAATGGCAACTCACAGGGATTTAAGAGTCAAACATGGGGATTTAAGGAGATGTAGCCTCTGGTTATGTCAAAATAGCTATTGAAAATGGTGATTGATAGTGGATTTTCCCATTAAAAATGGTGATTTTCCATAGTTATGTTAGTTTACCAGAGGGTAGCTACTGAATGATGGATAAGAGGGTTTGCCCAATGATGGGAGATGGCACCAAACATTTCTGTCATTTGACCGAGGAAGATCAGGATTGAAACCACGATATTTTGGGGTACTATTCCAAGAAAGTGGGAAAGAAAGGAATTGGAGATACAGGATTTGGCTTGTGGTTGATCGACAACCCAAACAGTCTAGAGTTTAGCCGTTTAGCCTATCCATTTTCTTGTAGAAATGGCTAGGATCATAGTTATAATTTCATTTATGGATGGTATAATCTACTTAGGGGGACTTACGATCACCAGGGTTTTCTTCGCCACTGAGTGGGATCATCCTCGATGCGACCAGGAATCCGAGATCCATGAGATCGTCGAGGAATCTCTGGACGCGCCACAGGCTAGCCGTTGGGCTTGAAGCCAGCGGGGCTATAACTGGAGGTTTCCCAAGTCATAGGGCTACCCCCAAATCATCCATTTTAATAGGGTTTTCCATTATAAATCAACCATTTGGGGGGGTACCCCCCCATTTTTATGGAAACCTCCAAAAAAAAAACATCGTGGGATTGACATCCACGGGATAGAATATCTATATTATTCTAAATTAATGTTCGGATATATAAAATATGATAAATATGACAAATGTGATAAATATGATAGATATGATAGATATGATAGATATGATAAATATAGATATATCCAAATAGATACAGTTTATAATATGTTGGATAAAAATCGATATGAATTGTGTAAAAATACTATAAATTCTATCATATGCTAACGTCGGTGCCCCTGTTGCCAGGCCTGTGACAGACAGGTCATCAGCCTGAGCCCTCGAAGTGGTCGAAGTGCCGCCCACGTGCTGCCCGAGCCGGCGAACGTGCTGCCGGTGCCCGTGCAGGTGCGCCACGTTCAAAGGTGGTTTGGGCCGTGAAACACCGTGAAACCATGGGAAAAACCATGGGATCTAGGCACGAGAACTGGGAATTTGACTTTGTTACCACATGAATCATGGATTTGGGGTGGGTAACATGGGGAAAGGGATACAATGGCAGTTTTCGACTGGGAACATGAGTTTTTTTTTTCAGCGCTTGACCCCGAGAGTGTGGGAAGTTGGAAAGCCTCCCAAACCAATCGGTTCTATTCGTTTTTTTTCCCTCAACATCGGGCTGTCTCTGGATTCTTGTTGTGCTTCACCGACAAATGAGTCAACACCTGGCACCCAGATGGTACCTTAGAAGAGCCGGTGAATGGACGTGTATTTCCCCTTTCATACGGTAATTTCATAAATTTTGACCCATCCCCAAGTCAGTGTCAAAATGCTTGGGAAAACCCGTAGCCATCACAAAAGTCCTATCTCTGCTGCAGAGGACAGTTTGGTGAAGCCCGAACTTGAGCCCAAGGACCCAAGGAGGATGGATGGTTTGATTTTCTTGGGGTGACCATGGTCCTTCGAACTGACGAACTTGAGTTTTTTGCGGAAGATCATCATCTTGATATATCTTGAGTGCTGAAATCGTTGCAAAATCTTTGCCGAATATTGCCATGTCCTCCATGAAATCCCATTCTCAAACTGTCATTCTGGGGCTGATATCCTGGTGGTGGGAAGTTCACCTTCTCAAACTTCTAAATCCACCCAGTATTGTTGTTTACGTTTGATTTTTTGCTGTTTACCCTCCAGTAAACTAACATAGCTATGGCATATATGGATGAACATTGCCATCATCACTAGGAAACTCATCCTAATTTTGGTCCATGTTCATCCATTTTCCATAGATATGTGAGTTCACTGGAGGGTAAGTCACTGCTTTTGGGAGACCCCAGGATGGAGAGGAAGATCCAGAGGAGCCAGTCTCCTTTATGGAAACTGCGACACTCGCTGAAGATGGGGATCGGTTCTTATCCCCAAAAAATGGGGGATGCAATGGGGATATTCCATGGGGATACCTTTAAATAGTTCCACTCTTGTTTTACGCACGAAAAGGAAGGGATAGTCTGATAGTCCCGCAACATACTTTTTGTGTTTGATCTACCAAGAAAATGGGGACGTCACCATGAAAAATAGTGATTATATAAAACGATGAATTGATGATAGAAGAGTTGAACCAACTAGGCCAGCTTGGATGAATTTATGGTGGATATATTGAAGTAATTATATGATATGGGTGAAACTGAAGCAGCTTTTCAAACGGGCGAAGATATTCAAGCCGCAACAATTCGGGATAAACATTGGTCATCCACAATAGGATTTGATCGAAGGATGGGTTCTAGGCAGCAAAGAGCTACAGCAGCTACTTGGATCTGTATCCGAGTTACGATAGTGAATACCCTCTGGTAATTTAACATAGCTATTGAAAATGGCCATAGAAATAGTGAGTTTTCCCATTGAAAATGGTGGATCTTTCCATAGTTTTTTGTATGTTTACCAGAGGGTAAATCAACCTTAAATAGATCCACATAGTTGGACACCAAACAAATCAACATTTGGTCAACAGGTTTTCTTCGATGAGTTTCAAGCTGTACGTTTTCCTTGGGGATGAAGTAACAGCATTTTTCTGTCGATGTCTGTCGGGTGTACCCTCTGGTAATTTCAAAAAAGGGAACATGACGACTAACTCCATGAATTTAGGTGAGGTACCTACTTCTGAGACAAAACCCGGTGACCTATTGGTTGTTAAACAAAGGTTATATAAGTTATATACCAGTGGGGAAAACACATCTTTTGTGACGATCGAATGGAGGTTGCCCCGTTCCAACTCAGGGGGAGTTATATGGCAGAAAAGGTGGCTGGAAACCACAGCTATTGGCCCATTTCTGTAAATGGTTCTCATCCATTTATAGATTTTCCATGAAATCAACCATCCGTCAACCACAGCTACTGTCAAAATTGAAGCCGGCCGAGGTGGAACCTGGTGCTGGTCCTAGGCTGGGATGCTTCAGATTGAACCAGTGAAAACGGGGCTGACAATGGGGGGTATACCATGGTATACCTTCCAAATAGCCTAATTTTTATTGGACAAATGATGACTAACCAGTGGATGGACTGGGGTAGCCCATTTTCCGACAAACCTAGTTGTTGCTTGTTTTTCTATTTGCTGTGAAAGAGAAACCGACCCGTCTGACAGAATGAACCTTGACTGTGAGTACTCCAACATGAACAATCTCGAACACAGTTCCGAGTCAGCTATTCAGTGTCGCAATGGTGGAAGGAATGCCTGGCAACACGTGGCGATATGAACCAACCATCATTCAAGTTTCGAAGGTTTTGTAGTCCTTTCGCAAAACAATCCCTATGTTCTGGGTGATTTTGTCACCAGTTCAATCGGTTTTGCCTGTGAAATTTAACTCTTTGCCAGTCAACTAGTTTCTTTTGGGATTTAGATTCGATCTTATTTTGTTTTCTCCTTATAAACTGTAGAAATTGGAGTCAAATCCTCACTTTGATAACGCTTAGATACCGTTTGTAAGATAACCTGTTGGTTGGAAAATGGCCCCATAGAAATGGTTGATTTACCTCTTAAAGATGGTGATTTTCCAGTTCGCTAAACGTTACCAGAGGGTAACTCCCATTAAACCACCATTGGATTCCATTAAATCCCATTAAATCCCATTAAAGCACCATTAAACCACCATTAAACCACCATCAAAAATTCCATTAAACCACTTGCCAATGGATCCCCTCATTGCGCCTTGCGCCTTGCGCGCCGCGCCTTGCGGCTTGGCGCCAGGTCTCACGAGTTCCGGCTGGGTGGATGTGACCATCGCCTGTCTGCTGCTGCTGAGTAGCGCGGGGATGCAGATCACCTTCAGTGACGCTTTGTGGATGAAAAAAGAGGGCATTGAATGAGGATTGAACCATGATGACTATAGACTAGTTTGGCTTATAGTTTTTTTTTCCCCGCATGTTTTAAGCATTTCTATGTATATATATATATATGTATAATAGGGGGGCATATTTACTTGATAAATGATGGTTCATGAGATATTTTATGGGGCTTTAGGGATCAATTTTTCCATGGTTTTGAGCCCAAAAACCCTGGGGATTTAACTTCTACATGACGATTGGTTGATGCGACTGATCTGATATCAATGGGACTTAGCCACTGAGTATCTGTATTTTGGTGCTTTGGAACCATGGAATTTTATGACTTTCCATTTTTTTTAGGAATAGTAACCCCAACTGACTTTCATGTTTCTTCAGAGGGGTAGGTATACCACCAATCAGGTATAGTTTTTTTTTTTCAGGGTTCTAACTATCAAAGATACGGGGGATATCATTGATAAATCATGGTTGATGGGTTGATATAGGGGTAAAAGTAAAAGCAGGTTCCGAATTTCCTGTGCTCCCATCCAGCGATGAAATACCAATCGAAAGCCTGGTTTAGTGTTGGATCTTTTCATTTTGGGGGTCATTTATTAGGGGTATTTTTCCATATTAGTTGGATGGGATTTTGTTTTCGAACTCTGTTTCTGGGTTTCTGGAGCTCTGAGGTCATTCTGCTGGGCAAGGAGACCGTTGGATGATTTTTTTCGGGATGCTCTGGGCCAAACATTTCAACCATCGACCATCCCATTCTAGTAGCCTGTGAAAATTTCGATTGGAACAGAAGGGCATCACTGTTTTGATTCAGATGTGATCAGAACGTTTGATAGTCAACAAGCTGACTCGTGAACGCGATATGATCAACATGAGTGAAGAGTTAACGAGGGTTGCAACCCTCTAGTTGTCCGTGGCGGACTGGGATGACGTGGATACCCCTTATATGCACATGTTTACCTGGTGAAATGGATCATTTCGTTGGAATTACACCTGCACAAGACTTGTCTTTTTCGAAGCAGTTGACCAGCCGAGATGTTGTTTCCCCTTTCTGGCTGATCGCAATGGGCCATAGGCCCCTAGGCCCTCCTTGTCGAAACGATGTAGTGTGTAGCTCTGTGAGCTCATGCGGTCCCAAGTCCTAAGTGATCCCAGTCGGTCCCAAGCGATCCTGATAAACCCCGTCACATCATTTTTATTTTTCAGGTTTCATATGACATGTAGCCTCTGGTAATGACTAACAGTTCGCTATTGAAAATGACCCAGTCGAAATAGTGGATGTTTTCCCATTCAAAACGCATGGTGGATCTTTCCACTTCGCTATGTAAACGTTTCCCACAAAAAATGGGCCGTTGGATCCATTGGATCAACGTTTAGCACCAGTAAGATGATCTCATCCATCAAACGAACTATGGCTAAAAGTATCATAAATCATAGAAGACCATAGTGATATATATATATAGACTTATATATATATAGACTTATATATATATATATAGACTTATATATATATAGACTTATATATATAAGTTATCCCCCAACACACACATATATATATATATATATCATTCTACCCACTGCTTTGTTTTTTTTCACCGGCCAGACTTTTTGGGGCAACCGAAATGGAGGACTTCTTGGGGGATGCCTTTCGAGAGCAGATCGACATCGCCAAGGATTGGCGCAGGAGCCGGAGGGCGAAATCTTGGTTTGTTCCAAATCCTGGTTGGATTACCCTCTGGTTATGTCAAAATAGCTATTGAAAATGGCCATTTGTAGTGAGTTTTCCCATGAAAAATGGTGATTTTCCATAGCAAACTGTTAGTTTACCAGAGGGTACAGGAAAACCTATTGAAATAGCTATTGAAATTTCCATAGAAATGGTAGATTTACCCATTAATATCATGGTGATTTTCCAGTTCGTTATGTAAACGTTTACCAGAGGTTACTGAAAAAAAATCCTAGTATATTGGGTAGTGTGAACATGTATAAACCCTTATAAAATCAACCAAGCAGGGTTTTGAACACTGCTCAGATATAATATATGATATACATATATATATACACAACTTGTATGATACACACATATGTACATGTATATAGATTAATCTGTCCATTTTGGATTTCAATTCATATGTATATATATATATGTATAAATTTAGTTACCATTTTATTTATACATATACAGATAGTGTTATACAGAAATACATACACATAGATATACATATACATATGCACATGAATATGTATGTATATGTATATATACACACTGATCATATATGGTGTATATATACATATACATCTGTACATCTATATGTACATTTGTATATGTATATATGTATATATGTAGATATATATATATAATATACATATATACATATGTGTATATATATATATAGATGTACATACGACATACTAGCCAGCTAAGAAGAACTTCTCGAAAGGTGCCAAGCTACCTGAGTTTTCCCACCATTTTATACCATTCTATACCATTGTAACACCACCAGCATATCCAACATATGAGGAGTGTGGCGCACGACCACAAACATATGGACCTGGCTCAGACCAGTCTGATCTCGCGTGCCTTGGCTTTGCCGGTGTTGTGTTATGAAACCAACCAGAAATGTAATTTTGTTGGTTAGCATTTCAATGGCCATTTCAGGAACCCAAATTGGAGGTACCTACCATATATTTTTGGCCTATTCTTTAGGGCTATGTAAGGATCCTGGAATTCCCATTGAGCATTGGAGTCAAATGAAAACAAATTTTGGATCAACTCATGTCAATGAATCAAAAAGAACCAAGTTCTTCAGCAGAAACGGCAAGTTGATCGAGATGGAAACTCGACCCAAAACTGGGCTTTCCACAGAAAAAAAAGGAGCTCAAGCTCGGCAAAGTTTAGGATTTCAAGCTCAATGATTGGAACCATTGGAACCTAGACATGCCCAGCAATCAGCGAATCATTTTCCAATGGATTTTTCTGGTGAAATTGTGGATCAACGAGCCGGTTTTCCATGGCGCACCTGTTTGGCGATCCATTTCACGATGCTCCAAGAATAGTGGCAGCATAGATACCGCAAACAATCGTTGTTTGGTGGTTATTTTTCTTAATCCACCTGATTGTCTCCGCTGAAACATGTAGGAATATTTTGGGGGTGTAATTTTTTGGCCAAAAGTTGGGGTGCCATCTGAAATTGATCCGGCAATCTAAGCAGGCAATGGCATGTTCTACAGGTCAGTCATTTACTGGTTGGTGGTTTCAAACATTTTTTTATTTTCCATTTCATATATGGGATGTCATCCTTCCCATTGACGAACTCATATTTTTCAGAGGGGTAGGTCAACCACCAACCAGTTTACAACTGGGTGATTTTATGCCGGATTTCTGAGAATCCCCAGGGTGGATCTCCGATTGGCCATCACGTCCATGTTCTATCAATGTCAGGGTATATATTGGCGTTGCATCCAGTGGAAATCGCCAAAGAGTTGGTCCCCTATAAGTTAGGTAGGTGTTGGGTTTGCCGATTGTTTGTCCTATCATTGTGAGAGTTTGGAAAGGATGCGTGATGTTTGTAAGACATTTTGCGGTTTACGGAAACATGATGACAAGGAGGACATTGATTTCGTGTCGCCTCTGTGTGACTTGAACATAGAAATCATGTGTTGCAACGAAAGGGGAATTTTCTTGCTTGGTGGTAAAGAAAGCGTTGAGTAATCCGCAAAAAGATAAAACCATTAAATCCTACTAGAATAGTCATAGTCATAGATTACTTGTCTATTTTTTTGGGTTGCTATAGAATGTATATATTTTCAATATTCTCAGAACTTGCTCAGCAGCATTTCTTCTCATCGCCATTCCAGACTTGCACAACGGTTGCCGGCCTGGGCGGGTGTCTCCCGGTGGTGTTTCGGTGGTGTCTCATTGCCTCTTGGTGGTGTCTTGATGTTTAAGCAGCAATCGTTTTTGCACGCCTCTGCAGGGCGGACAGCTAGCTTCAGTGAGCGACATGCGGATCTACCGATGAAGGGTTGTCATTTCAGTGGAAACAAAAGAAGCCCCGATAGCAGCGCTGAGTAACATGATACATGATCCACCCATGCTAGCAGGTGAAAACACGAAGTTAGGCGGTGTAAAAAGGTGGTCAATGACAGTTAGTACTGATATGTCCTTTGGGTTGATTTCCACGCAAAACGAGAAGGAAGAAAAAAGATAAGACTCACATATACGCCTAACAGGCTGATTTCCTTAAGGATTATTTTCAAAAAGCGATCTTCAGGAGGCGGGGATCATTTGCTTTTCTGGTGCCTGGATCTTCCCCTTTTCCTTTTTCGCTTGTCGTTTCAACCCTTTTCCCAACATACACCAGTGAAAAATGTTGTGAAAATGCTGCATGCGCCGATTCACCCACCCAAAGGGAGTTTGTCTAGTGATATCACAACTGCTTAGCATACAGCATGGAATTGGATGATGGGAACATTTTAACCGGAAAACCCGATCAATTTGATAGTAAAAACCATGGTTTCCGGTTAAGAATTTCCCTTAAACCAATCCATTGAATACAGCATGCCATGGTGAATCATTTTTGATTGTTGCCATGCTCACTGGAGGCCTGGGGGCTGGACCGGTGGCCCGAAGAATGGGCTCACCGTCCGTAATTTCAGTGCCCAAACCGACCATTGTGGGGCCATACCCAACTGTATGCACAACATATCAATGAAACTCATATTGAAATCTCGTTGGGTTGATTTCTTGTTTTACTTTTCGGCATATTTTTTTTGGGGGGTCGGATCATCTCTCCCTAAGGTGTCTGCAACGAAGATGGCAAATTGATCTTGTCTACAGATCAGGCATCCCTTTTATCTCAGCAACTCGGTATAGCCCCAGGGACTTGGAGACTTGGGTATGTCTCAAAATAAGGTACCCCCCAATTGATGGTTCACCACTATTTTCCCTGTTAAAAAAAGTATCGCAGGATCTCCGGGATGGAGGTGACTGTTTTTGATGGGAATGCACGTTCAGTTACAAAGTTTCAAACTCAGTTTTTGCAGGGTATCCAAGATTGGCCATTTCAGCTGTTTGTTTTGGCAAACAGTTTTCGTTGTGCCACGTGTGTGGGTCTGTCTGCGCGATGTTTGCCTGATCAAAGACCTGGGAATTCTGCAGCGGAAATCCAGTCTTTGGCACACTTGCTAAGTATCATCCTGATTTCATGAACACAGTAACAATTTTACCCTCTGGTAAACTAACATAGCTATTGAAAATGACCATTTATAGTGGATTTTCCCATTGAAAATGGTGATTTTCCATAGTTATGTTAGTTTACCAGAGGGTACTTGCTGAATGGTCCTGTTGGTGAATGTTCGGGCTGCCTGGGCCTGATCACATGTCCACAACTCCGAAATTTATCATCATTTCTTTTTTGGAGGACTCATGAAATTGACATTACAAAGTCTGTGGATGAACATTTCCAGGTCAGGTTCCCCATTTCAGGTTGTTTTCGTCTCCCTTGTGACGACCAGAGGACTGTTCAGTTTCTGTTGGTCGGCCCAGGATCAACGCCTTCTTAGGTCTCGAGCCTCTCAGCTGTGGCCGGGAGGGAACCGAGGGAACCCGGGATCAAAGTCTGAAGACTTAAGGAGGTTCCCTCTCAAATAGCGATATATATTGAACATGGCCATTGAAATAGGTTTATGATCAACAGCCGGGTAACAGTTCTGGATGGTGGATATATCATGAGATATCTACCCTCTGGTTATGTCAAAATAGCTATTGAAAATGGCCGATAGAAATGTGATTTTCCATAGTTATGTTAGTTTACCAGAGGGTTGGTGGTTTGGAACATGGCTTTACTTTTCCATAATATATGGGAATAATCATCCCAACTGACTTTCATATTTTTCAGAGGGGTTGAAACCACCAACCAGTATCAAAATGGTTAGAACCAAGAAGTTATGGGTGTGGAAACAGCCATGGCACTTCACAGGTCAGCCCAACACATTGCTATGTTTTTTCACACCCAGAAATGTGACATGAAAAGAGAAGGGTTTGAGAAAACCTGTCTCGGATTGGTGCAGCGGCATTTTCTGGACGACTGTAGTGCCCCTCTTTTGAACGATACATACCCTCCGGTTTTTTCTCACAGTTTGCGAACTGGAAGCCATGGCCCATAGAAATAGTTGATTTACCCTCTGGTAATTTAACATAACTATGGAAAATCACCATTTATAGTGACATTTTCCATGAAAAATGGTGATTTTTCCAGTTCGTTATGTAAACGTTTACCAGGCCGGGTATGTACACTTCAAGCGTCTGGTACCTCAAATTCCAAGATTTGGAGGGAAAACACTGCAAAAGCCCCTTGCATCAGTGGTAGAAACAGTGGTCCACAATGATTCGTGCCCATATATTCCACCGGTTCTGGGGCTATTGATATAGATTAAATGTGGTAAACCCCAGAGGAAACTGGAATTTGCAAGAGAACCGCAAGATTCATCCGTTTAGCGGAAGGGATACACCAGTTTGGTTGTTTTTTTTTAAATCCCTAGTTGAGCAGTGTCAAAAACTCATCGGAAAGTCCATGATACTGGTTCGTCACTAGGGATTTCCACTTAACTATATATTAGGATTCTTTTAATCATGACTATTTCTAAGTAGATTTTCAGCTTTGGCCCATCCCATTTCAGGGATTCCTTGAATTTCAATCTCCAATGTGTTGGGTAGTTTTCGACCCCTATCCCACGGATCATGGGGATTCTTTCAATGGATTGGGTTTCAGGGAAATTTTACACCGGAACGCACCATATTTAATGGGAACATCTCTCTGGTTTCCGGTGAAGATTTTCCCAACCTTGAACCAATCCATTGATTCTTTCATGGATCTGCGTAAATGACAATATTTCACTAACCTGAATCTTAAGGCCATTTTGGGATGATTCCCCAAATCCTAAGTATGATTTCCAGTGAGGGAGAACAGTGAGGTCGTGATGAAATTTACCCAGATGGATGTTGATTATAAATCTTATCACTATACCGACTATACCCTCTGGTTATTTTACATACCCTCTGGTAAACTAACATAGCTATGGAAAATCACCATTTTTAATGGGTAAACCCACTATAAATGGCAATCTTCAATAGCTATGTTAGTTTACCAGAGGGTAGATGGCTTTCATGGATGGAAAATCATCAACCGCATCTCTTAGGTCCAATGACTTTGAACTCCCCTGGCTCCAACCTGGCATTTTGCTCTGCATGCTCTGCATCCTCCTGTGGTTCCTCGGTAAAGATCAATCGTAAATCGTCGAGATAGCAAACTTACGAACCTTTTAAAGGATGGGTGGGATTCAACATTAGTTGGTGTTAACACTGGAATGGATCAAAGCCTATTGGTACCATAGTTAGGGGAATAAACATCCATTAAGCCGCTATTTTAGGGCACCTAGGGTCCCCTAGGGTTCTAGGTTTTGACTCATAGCCATATGAAACCAGGTTGAATATATGGTCAATGGCCATTTCAGGATCCTAAATTGGAGGTACCTACCATATATAAGGCCTATTTTTTAGGCCTATGTAAGGGGATGTCCCCTCCATTGATATGGGCCTTTTATGATTTCCTGGGAAATTCATCAAAGATCATGGTGAAATGCTGGGATTCCAAGGCATTTCACGCTGTTAAAATGCCCCACATTTTCACCCCAAAACCATGGACGACCCCCAAGGACTTGCCATTCGCTTGGAAGTTGATCGCAAGGATATTTATCAGTATCATTAATTGGATAGTTTATAATGGAAATACGAAATACTATGGATGAATATTAGAAGTATCAGAAATCGCATATAAATATATCCATAAACCGTAAACCTATAACCACATAAATATCATAAAACCATCCAATAAATCCTATAACCAGTTGCCCTCTGGGGCGGAAAAACCCCTTCCGGGGGTTTTCTAAGCGATGCCCAGGTGCCTGTATTTGTGTCAGGAGCTTCGAGCGGTCTTCTTTTCCTTGGAGGCGTGAGAACGGGTGAAGTACTCAACTTGGGACTTATATGGGTATTATATATGCTATATATGCTATATATATATATATATACACCATCTGGCGATTTAACATAGCCATGGAACATCCCTGATAAATGGAGGTTTTAATGGGAAAATCATCTATAAATGGCCATTGATTGAAACCACCTAGCAACTCAAAGGATAGTTGCAAATGGCAGTGTGTCAAAACCTTGTACCCCTGTAGTTCACATCAAAATAGCTGGGATTTATGGAAGTTCATCCCATAAAAAATGGTATTAATAGCTATTGATCCATAGCCATATGTATATTATATATGCAATATATGCTATATATGATAGATATAGAGCATATATGAGTATTTCCTAACTCATGACATGATGGGGTTTACCCCAAAAAGCATCGATTTTGGGGTTTCCCCATTTATGGAAACTCCTATATATGAGCTTTAAGCATCAACAATGGTCGTATAATTCAATGCCGAATGTATCGGGGATTATCAACCAACTAGTATAATGAAATAGGATAGGGGTATTTTTGACGCCTCAACTGTTGATGGCTTGATAAATGGGGTTTTTAATAACCCAATTGGTTCATTGACTTGTAGGGATTTGTTGGCGACAGTAGCAAAAAACCTGGATTGAAACAGCATAAGTGGGGATTCAATCACCGAAAGGGGAGTGATGTCCCATTTTCCCGCAGGTTGGTCTTGAAAACACGGCAATCCCGCCATTTTTCACAACCCTTCTGATTGAATGGTCGAAAAGAAAACTGGCCCCTCTGGACTTCCAGATTTTGTGTCATTTGTCTCCTTCTCTTCTCTTCTCTTCTCTTCTCTTCTCCTCTCCACAAATTTCGATGTCTCAAGTCTTGTTGGTCAAAACACCTTTTTTCATTGGATTGGTTTAGTCGGGAACATTTTCACCGGAAACCTCCATATTTAGTGGTAAAAACCATGCTTTCCGGTTAAGATTTTCCCAACAAAACCAATCCATTGACCATAGAAATAGTTGATTTACCCAATAAAAATGGTGATTTTCCATGGCAAACTGTTAGTTTACCAGAGGTATTTAGTGGTAAAAACCAGGGTTTCCGGTTAAGATTTCCCTTCAAAACAACGCATCATTCGCAGCTGAATTCTCCATTGAGGCCGTGTCGTTTCTGCCGCGCGGGCGTTCCACCATCCTGCAGAATGGCCGTCCCTTGGCGCGATGCCGGCACCGGCTGCCCTCCAGTGTTGCAACTCCGGCGTGGTTCCAAGGTGACTCTCTCCAGGCAGATATAGTTATATATATGTATATGTGTATATATATATATGTATATATGTATATATATATATGATATGTATATATATATATATATACACATCTATTCTTTTCTCAGTGCTTGGTTGATTAATTGAGGGATCATTCCCAACAATTAATAGGTGTATGATGAATGGTATAGCAAACCACCCTCTGTTTTTGCCAAGCACAGAAAATTGTTTGGGCCATCAAAATTTGAGCATCTCCAGATCTTGTTTGGGGAACATGAGGAAACATCGCCATCTTTGAATGGTTGCAACCCTGAAACCATATGGGGGGTTCCATAAATGGGGTACCCCCAAATGGATAATTTATAATGGAAAGTCCCTTGAAAACAGATGATTTAGGGGTACCCCCATTTTAGGAAACCTCCATATATGTACTTCTCCGGAAGTATTGGAGTTTGCCCCAGATTCACGCCTAGTGTTGGTTGACCATTTGGTGATAACAGCTCCAATTTTCGATTGTTTACTACCCCAGAAAATCGCTCGAATATTTTCGTCCCCGCAAAACCCATGGATTTATCTCAGATTCACGGCCATTCCGTAGATGTCCCAAATTCCCATTGGTTTGATGATGAAATGGAGGTCACCCCCAATTTTCTGGAACCAATTCTAAATGATGAACAATGAAAACATGACGTAAACATATGTGGGACATTTGGATGATGAACGGTTCCTAATCCCCCACGAGAAACCATGTCAATATTGGATTTATGGCCACCTCAGGTTCATAGATGTCCTAAATTCAGGGGTCAAGTCCATTGAACAACAAATGGCCGGTTATGAAAATGGGGTATCCCCCGAAATGGTCTTTCAAAATAATAGGGATAATCATGATGAATCAATGGGATTTACCGGTCTTCCGGTAAATCCCAGACATTTTCAGACAAAAACCAAGTATAGATGATACATCTGACAAACCACAGCCTCAGTCAATGGATTGGTTTAAGGGAACATCTACAGGAAATCAGAGTGATTTTCCCATTATTCATATGGGGCTTTCCGGTTAAAATTTTCCCGACTAAACCAATCCATTGACTCACAGATTTACCCAAGGTTTCCTGCAGATGTCCTACATTCGTTTCTATGCCTACTGCCTCATACGCTTATCACGGCTGGCCATAGCAGCGCCTCGGATCTGCAACGCTCCATGGGTGGCAACCTTTGGACATGGATGGTACGCGGTCAACTCATGTTTTGCTGGAAAATCACCATCTTGAAGTTCGGTACCCTCTGGTAAACGTTTACAAAACTATGGAAAATCACCATTTTTCATGGGAAATGTCACTATAAATGGTGATTTTCCATAGTTATGTTAAATTACCAGAGGGTAAATCAACTATTTCTATGCCATGGGCCATTTTCAAGTTCGCAAAGTGTAACAGTCATTACCAGAGGGTAACATGAAGCAACCCATATGGATGATTTGACCTGCAAGAAATACGATATTACGAGATGGCAATTTGGATGGCCAAGATGTCCAACAACTCACCGTCAACAAACACGTGGATTGCAGAAATGGCATGTACTTTGAGGTGTAGTTCTGGTTACCCTCTGGTTATGTCAACATAGCTATTGAAAATGGCCATTTATAGTGGATTTTCCCATTAAAAATGGTGATTTTCCATAGCTATGTTAAATTACCAGAGGGTATTGGACATGACTATTGAGTTCACGGAAGCAGCACAAAAAGCAACGGTTACCGTTTTTTTGCGTGTTTTCGCCTGTTCTGTGTGATTCTTCCCACTGCGGTGTGACTATTCCAAAGATCATCCCCAAAGAGCGGCTGAGCATTTGATTTGGATTGAAACCACCTGGCAGTGTGTCAAAACCTTGTACCCCTGGTGAACATCAAAATAGCTGGTAAATGGATGTTCATCCCCCTAAAAATGGTATTAATAGGTATTGATTCATAGCCACCTAGCAACTCAAAGGATAGTTGCAAATATCTCTATTTGGGATCCTGTCAAGTGACTACAGTGACGCTGGAAATATCAATTGAGCACCACCAATCCACCAATCAGATCAATCAGATCAGTCAGCAACCAGTGTCTTATCCGGCAGGTTGCGCTGCTGTATGCTGGTGTCTTGTGGTTGGCTGGTACAACTTCCATTACGGAGCCTTGGCTGGTAGCGACTGCCCTTTTTGTTCAGCAGAAATTTCTGAAATGACGGATACCATGGGAGGTTTTGCATGCACTAAATGGAATGTTTTGCATGCACTAAATGGAATGTTTTTGTTCAATGATGGCGAGGGTAGTAGAAGGGCATCATCCCCCAACATGTTTTTTTTTTGGGGCTCGTCAAGTGTGAAATCTTTTGCCCAGAATGGGTTCGACATATTTTTTCCCCGGGCACAAACTATGGCTTGGTGGAACTTCTGTTCAATGGGAAAATCACCGGACATGATGTTTTTTTCGGGGTCAGCTGGTCAGCTGGCTGAAAAAGGCATGGTTGTTTCAGGTAGATTCATATGTCTGACTGTCTGTCCATGGAAAATGAAAGACCCACAGTCTTATGTCATTCCCTGCACACACTAGGCCTTTGACTTGGTGTCTGTGGTCTCCGCAGATGGCTTGTGGATGGGAATTGCAATCCGGAAATCATCAATATCAACCCAATGATAATCGAATGTCTTCCAAGTCCGCCATGCCGGGGAAAAAGGGACCAGTATCAATTGATCAGAAAAAATAGCATTCATTCATCCTCCTTCGTCCTTTGTTTACGGTTAGTGGTTCTAAACATGTCTTTGATTCGAACAGCAGTTCTCGTTGGGTTTCAATCTCTGGGTCACCACCAGCGCATCTTGGATGCTGTTTCCACCACCAGCAGCACTGGAATCCTGGAAGTTGCTGTATGTGTCTGGTATTTCCTGGTACCCTCTGGTTGTGACTTATGACTAACATAGCTATTGAAAATGGCCATAGAAATAGTGAGTTTACCCATTAATAGCATGGTGATTTTCCATAGTTATGGAAACGTTTACCAGAGGGTATTGCATGAGAGAAATTCTGGATCCTTGGTGTTCCAATTGATCTTTTCCATATTTTTAAAAATGGCGCCATGTTGAAAAGAGAGATGTGGCTGTTGCGTGGCTATAAAAGGACCTGATTCTGAATGCTGTGGCTCTTTCGGCGATCCTCCAAGTGGACGAGATGCTTGGCTTCATAAAAGTAGCGCAAACTGAAAAGGCCAACAAGTCTTGGTCAAATAGGTTACTGTATTCAGTTTTAGTAAGATTGATAGACCAACATTGACAAACCATGATAATTAAGTTTTATCAAGATTAATAGACCAACATAAAGATTTTGCAAGAAAGAAAACTGAAGATTTCGTCCCAAGCATTATGGAAAACCATGGTTCCTTTGCGATACCTAGACTTCCATACGTACCCTCGGAGTTTCAACAACAAACGGGCATGTCAGCAACGAGTTAAGCTGACCGGTGATGACTCTGCCTTTTGACATGGGGAATTGCCGAATGTGATGGAACCGCAAACTTTAGGCTCCGATCATTCAGCCCAGGGTCCCTGAACATGTTTTTTTTCGGGTCATTGATTCGCTTGATGCCCAAGTCGAAATGGGTTCTGAAAGTCCCACTAGTGGTATCTACCAGTTGGGAGTAAAATAATCCACTTTGACCTGGGAACAGGGCCCCAATCTGGGCCATCATTTTACAAAAACCACGCACTGAGATGAGGAATGGCCCCCACTTGGATGATCGAAGAATGAGGAACTGGATTTAGGATTGATGATTAGTTTAGGTGCTTTGTTTCACCAGAATTGCGATGTTTAGGTCAATAATCTAAGTAATACTATAGTTAGTAATATGGGAGTGTATTGTTGATGAATAATTTTGGTAGCGAGTGACAGTACTAGGAACTTTTTTAATGAACTGGTAATTGGCAATTTAATGAGTGGTGAATTAAACCAATTATATAGATACGAGGTTTGGATTTGGGTGAAATAAGCCACTATTTATGTGATTGCAACCCGTCATTGTGATCCTAGTGATTTTGAATTCTTGCCGTATGGGATATGAGTGAGTGGAATTAGCCAAACAAAACAGATAATCACCGGTAGGCACTCACCATGGGCTGCACTACTGCTAACAATTATATATACTTATTGGGATATAGTTGATATAGTACTGATTAGTCCTGATGATCAACAATCACTAGTAGGTGCTCATTTCTTTTTGAAAGAAACAGTGGTACGGTAGAAAATAAGGAAGGCCCCAGTTATGATTGTTGGTTTATAAACCATGAAACAACCCCAGTTACGAATTCAGCCCCTTTTTTTCGGCGTTTCCCAGTTGGCTATCACAGGATGGTCTTCACAGCCTTGATGCCCAAGAAGATTCAGATCAACATCCAGGATCCCGCTGGGGATGTTGATGGGCGGCTTTGCCATTTTGACATATTTATATCAGATAATCCCATATATGTATATATCTATATATATACACATATGTATATACACATATGTATATACACATATGTATATACACATACGTATATACACATATGTATATACACATATGTATATACACATATGTATATATATATACACATATGTATATATATATATACACATGTATATACATACACATATGTATATACATACACATATGTATATACACATATGTATATACACATATGTATATACACATATGTATATACACATATGTATATACACATATGTATATACACATATGTATATACACATATGTATATACACATATGTATATACACATATGTATATACACATATGTATATACACATATGTATATATATATACACATATGTATATATATATATATATATATACACATGTATATACATACACATATGTATATACATACACATATGTATATACACATACATACATACATACAAACATACAAACATACAAACATACAAACATACAAACATACAACCATACAACCATACAAACATACAAACATACAAACATACAAACATACAAACATACAAACAAACATACAAGCATGCATACATACACACACATACATACATACATACATACATACATACAGACATACAGACATACAGACATACAGACATACAGACATACAGACATACAGACATACAGACATACAGACATACAGACATACAGACATACAGACATGCAGGCATACAGACATACAGACATACAGACATACAGGAATACAGACATACAGACATACAGACATACATACATACAGACATACATCCATACATCCATACATCCATCCATCCATCCATCCATACATACATACATACATACATACAGACATACACACACACACATACATCCATACATCCATACATCCATCCATCCATCCATCCATCCATACATACATACATACATACATACACACACACACATACATCCATACATCCATACATCCATACATCCATACATCCATCCATCCGTCCATCCATCCATACATACATACATACATACATACACACACACATACATCCATACATCCATACATCCATACATCCATACATCCATACATCCATCCATCCATCCATCCATCCATCCATCCATCCATCCAGCCATCCATCCATCCATCCAGCCATCCATCCATCCATCCATCCAGCCATCCATCCATCCATCCATCCAGCCATCCATCCATCCAGCCATCCATCCATCCATCCAGCCATCCATCCATCCAGCCATCCATCCATCCATCCAGCCATCCATCCATCCATCCAGCCATCCATCCAGCCATCCATCCATCCAGCCATCCATCCATCCAGCCATCCATCCATCCAGCCATCCATCCATCCAGCCATCCATCCATCCATCCATCCATCAGCCCTCCATCCTCCATCCAGCCGACATCCATGCCATCCATCCACCATCCATCCACCATCCATCCATCCTCCACCATCCCATCCATCACCCAGGCCATCCATCCATCCATCCAGCCATCCGCCATCATCCACCATCCATCCGCCATCCAGCCCATCCATCCATCCAGCCATCCATCCATCCCTCCAGCCATCATCCATCCATACTCCACCATCCAGCCATCCATCCATCCATCCATCCATACATCCATCCATCCATACATCCATCCATCCATCCATCCAGCCATCCATCCATCCATCCATACATCCAGCCATCCATCCATCCATCCATCCACCCAGCCATCCATCCATCCATCCAGCCATCCATCCATCCATCCAGCCATCCATCCATCCATCCAGCCATCCATCCATCCAGCCATCCATCCATCCATCCAGCCATCCATCCATCCATCCAGCCATCCATCCAGCCATCCATCCATCCAGCCATCCATCCATCCAGCCATCCATCCATCCAGCCATCCATCCATCCAGCCATCCATCCATCCATCCATCCAGCCATCCATCCATCCATCCAGCCATCCATCCATCCAGCCATCCATCCATCCATCCATCCAGCCATCCATCCAGCCGCCACCATCCACCATCCAGCCAGCATCCATCCAGCCATCCATCCATCCATCCATCCAGCCATCCATCCATCCATCCAGCCATCCATCCATCCATCCAGCCATCCATCCATCCATCCAGCCATCCATACATACATAAGTTTGTCTGAAAATGGTGGTCCCCCAATTTCAGGGAGAAGCTGATGAGAAATCACTGGATTTACCTGGTGAAAGGACCTGGAAGCCTTGAAGGTGAGGTATAGCCCGGGGTCCCCAGTTTTTCCGGAGCTGGAGAAATGCTGATTTCGTCGACAGAAAATCATCGTGGACTGTGAAAACATAGGGGATGTCATCATGAAACATAGTGATTTTGTTGAATAATGTTGATTAACAAAGATGATGATAACATTGTTGAACTATAAATTCATAAAAGATGTTGACTTAACCATCAAGAACTTGGATCCGGCAGAACTGGATGGTTACCAGCTGATGTCACCAGCTAGTTTGGGTTCCCGAAAGCTGTGATCATCAAACGTGAGTTCATTCACCCACAAACTTTGGGACTTTGCTGGCACTTTACGTTTTTGTAGGATGCTCCTAGCAGAGACCATGAGAATTTTTCAGCTGACAATGATGATGAATTCATGGACTGATACGAACTAGTTTTAACCATAGTTTAACCATAGTTTAACCATAGTTTAACCATAGTTTAACCATAGTTTAAGCATAATTATTTCGATGCCACAGTGGGACTAAGGCTAAGGGAATCCTTATACCCGACCAGCACGGGGACCACCTGGGGGATGATGGTGGCCTTGCGCCAAGGCAACTTTCGAAGTCAATTCGAGTGACGCGTTTGAAATGCGGGCTGGGTTTGTCTGACAGGGTACGGTATGTATATATATACTATTATGGGTATTTGTATGTATATATATATATATACATGTTATGATATATACACATGATATGATATATACACATGATATACCATTCCAAAGCATATTTTTTCGCATCACATACGAGGATGTAAGATGAATGAATGAATGCTTGATGAACAATATGCAAAATGAGTGTGCCTGACACTGAAACTTTGCGGAAATGCAATTCGATCTAAAATTGGTTTTGGCTGGAACTCAGCTATGTATAACTGCCAGTCAAAATGGGTATCTAATGGGATGTAACAGAGGGATGTAGAATCAACAAAAATAGGACTCAGAGCGGTAGGAGTGGTGATTTATTACATAAGTGGGAGGTTGATACGCATTAGCTGCTGGTTATAGAGTGCACCGGTGACCCTCTGGTTGTTTAACATAGCGATGGAAACTAGCCCATTTATGGATGATAAACATGATGATTTATCCATTTAAACATGGTGAGTGACAAGCTGGGTGCATGGACCATGTCCAAGGAATCGTTACATGGGATAATGAGCTGTGTAGAACTGGGAAGATCCCACATTTCTACATATTCTAAATGTGTATATATATATAAATAACTTAAACTTAAGATATGAAAAGAAATGCACAAATCAAATTACATATATTTCTACTTGATTGATTTATTATTTATTTATTAAATATATAGAAATCAACAAATAAATGACATGTAAATCTGCATACAGTATACCGTATACCTTCCCGGAACTTGCGTGGTAATTTAACCAGCTGGGGTACCCAAGTAATGTTGTACCCACCGCCATAAACACCCTTGATGGCTATGGGTTTTTGGTACACCCCTGATAAATGGAGTGTCTGAAAAGACTCGTGAGATAACCCCTTACATTTTGAGTGCTGCAGGAAGCGGCCCCTCAGTTATGCTTGGTGGCTTACCCAATCGAACTAGTTCGATATCTCCACCATAAATCCAGTCAATCATTAGATATCCTTAGCCTAGTAACCATGTTTTTGGTGGATAACAATATCTAGTGATTGACCATCAAAAAAAATGTTAGCCTCATTCAATATGTGTTAACCATTGTTATCCAACAATATCCCATGGGTTTTGGGTGTTTTTGGGCCCCCAAAACTTGCAGATCCGCCGTTGACACGGACCGCAGAGCCTCGAGGTCGGTGGTGCTCTTAGCTCTGACCTGCGGATTCCTGCTTTGGCCGCGGCTGGGGATGAATTGTGGCGAGGGCGACTGGCTGGGAACGCAATGGGTTCATGGCTCGTTTTTTGTGCAGATTTGTATAAATAAATAAATAAATAGATAAATATATATATATATATGTATGCATGTATGTAATTATATATATATATGTATAAATGTATGATATTAATGAATATAAATGGAGATATTGATCCACACCAGCTGTCTCTAAGCTTTGCCGTGTACAACGTGGGGTTAACTCTGTAAGTGGTTGCAGCCCTGGTCCACACGGCCCCGACGTAGGATTTCTGTGATGCTCAGGAACGTGAGTTTTCCGAGTTTGCCAGATTTGAGGCCCAAAATGGGAGACCATCTGAGCCTTCAATGCGGTACTTCTTTCCATTAGAGGATGATTTTTTGCACAACATGGTAAATTTTTCGAAGAGGCAAATGACGTGTCTATCTTTTGTTGGCTACTATACAGCCAGAACGTGTAGCTGTGTCTGAAATTAGATATACCCATCGGAACGGCAGATGAAATATGATACAGCAATGTGGAACATGAGGTTTTAAGTTTCAGTAGTTCAGTTTCAGACAAAACGGCATCAATTCAATACAACAAAATCTGGTGAAATCCCAATTTTTCACCATTTTTCACCATGGTTGACTCATCCCCGTTTCGCATCGTTCCCCTTCCAAAACTGAGGTATTTCAGCCATGTTGGGCCGTTGGCGGCAGACATGCTAGAGGTCAAGAGACAGTGCGCCTGATGAAATCATCAGGTCATCATAAAGGGTTTCCGCCTAGAAACCACAGGAACATATGGTGATTTTAACCAGAAAATGGTGATTTGTTGGGACTTCTACCCCTGGTAAATTCACAGTGGGACCCTTGGTGATGTGAGCAACAAAAATATGAGATTTCATGGAATGTAACTATGAGTGAAAATCACCCAGATCTTATGTGGAACCTAGTATGAACCAAACTCGATGACTGCCAGGGTCGAAGTGCTAATTTACTAGAGGGTATAGTTAATTTATGATAGTTGAGTTGGTGAACATAATTAGGTGATATGAGGAGAATTGGTAGATTTCTCTTGAACTAGTAACTAGTCAATGGGTTGATGAAAGAATTTGTTCATGAGAAATGATGAAACTTGGAGGACTTTCTCCAGAAAATGGGATTTAACTTTGAAACATTGAGTTGCCAGTAAGAAGAGGGGTTAAACCCGGTTAAGCTGATGAACTTGGGTTTGTTTGCCAGCATTGGAGGATCTACTGGCCACGCTTTTCTTTGTGGTGCCAAGTCAAAGAAGATTCGGAGGTAGACTGCATCACCAGACCTGTTTGGGGTTCAAGTTGTACCCGTGACCAGTCGAAAAAAACTTTTTTGACAAATGGATGTTGTCTAAGTCTAATGAAACAACGCATGGTCCTGGCATCATGTGTAAAAACTTTTAACCAATAGTAACTTGATAATCAACAAACTGATTTTTATGCATTCACTTCAAACATATCAGCAAAATACTTGGGAAATGTCCCTGATCTCTGAAGATCAAAGCACGGTTGATTCTTCTTGGTAGGTACTGCTATGGCAACCAAGACTTTGTTGTGGGTGCAAACGCCCAGCAGCAGGTCACGGACATTTTTTTTTTGCAACTCAAAAGTTGGGGGGGGTACCAATGGACTTGCAAAAGGCTTGTGATTCTTAGTATTTGTTCTGCATTTTTTGGATATATATATATGTATTATATATGTACACACAATTCTAAGCGATTCCCACTTTGCACTGGTGTCAAATCTCAACAGCAAATGGACCATCTTACGACACCTTTTTATCGGAATCGGAATGGCCCAAAAAAAAATTGGGGCCTCCCAGGATGGGTTTCCTAACCATGGGAAACAGCCATTTTTTCATGGGGATGAACATTCATTTACCCTCTGGTTATGACATTCACAGTTTGCCATGGAAAGATCCACCATTTTTGAGTTCGGTAAACGGTAAACCATATATTTCGATAAACGGGCCATGGAACTTCCATGGCGAACTGTGAATGTCATAACCAGGTTGGGTACATGTTCTGTTGATTCAAAACATCCAGCTATTTGATGTTTGACCCATGCATTACCGCGGCAGGTGACGATAGGTCTCAAGACCAAGCCGTTTCCAGCCGCTCGTGCGATTTGGTGCGGAGTTGTCCAAAGGTGGAGGACGGCCCCAATTTATGGCATTTGAAATAGGCAAACAAAAATGATGAAACATATAATGTGGGACACCCAATAATAAGCAACTACCATTTCGGGATGCTTTTGTACCACCTGTAGTGAGCTTGGGGATGGTTTATGATTGGGTTTACCGGTCAAAGTGTGGGTGGATTTGCCCAGAATATGACAATCAACTAGTTGATTTTGGAGTTTCTTTCCGAAATTCTTGGACGCGTGTGACACGCCCAAAGAGATAGATTCTGAAGTCTTTTCTCACTTGGATTCACTTTTACCAGTAGTTAGAAATTAGTTAGTGTCAACCCTGGATTAATAAACCCCTAGGCCTAGGCTGTTGAATTGGGGTACCATTTAAGTGTCAGATGACTGGAGGAGTACCTCCCTAAACCATGGTTTCAGCCGAGGTCACAGACACAGGGCTGCTGACCCAATTCGCTGTGGGGAGACTCAGCGTAGCAACCCCGTGGATAGCAACCCCGCAAATGTCATCCAACTACCGTCCTGGAAAAACTTTTATATCTTTTCAGGGATCCATATATGTATATAAATAAACAAATCAATAAATAAATAGATGATATTATACATATATATATAATACATATATACATAATATATATATATATATATATGTGCATGTAAACATATTGGATACTCATGGGATTTACCCAAGGGGACTTGCCAGCCATTTTTCCATTCGTTGCCGGCCTCGGCTTGGCGGCTTTCAATTTTGCTAAGACGATTGCTGACGCCGCCTGTTACAAAGGATTCGAATCCTTTATACATACACAATTCCCACAAAAAAAAACTGAATGATGCTCTTGTAAATTTTGGTTTAGTATTCGATCTGTTTATTTTTCGGGGCCCATATGTGTAGAAACGGCACCCCCCAAATATGAGAACTTGAATGGGGGAAGGAGGTTTTAATCCACGGGATTTCCGTGATCCTACATCCCACTCCAAACTCCTTCAAGAACCAACCACTTGCGACACCTGTGGCTTAGGTGGAAGATTTCATTTGGAAGCCCAAAGGTTCAGAATCGTCCCTTAGATAAAAAAGTGGAGCTGGGAAGACTGCGGCAACAGATATTGGGAAATACTGGAAAGACTTTGGCCACGAAATGGTGGATTTCAGAGGATCATTGGACACACTGACATTGTAATATCATTCAGAAATGGTTGTACCCTCTGGTAAACATACAAAAAAACTATGGAAAATCACCATGTTTAATGGGAAAATCCACTATAAATGGCAATTCTCAATAGCTATGTTAAATTACCAGAGGGTAATATCATTCAGAAATGGTTGTACTTTCAATGGGAATCAAGTCATCTCATCACTCGACAGTGGTGAATTGGCCAACTTGCCGTGTTTACCAGAGGGTTACCGTCACTGTTTTTAGAGAAGCGTCATCCACACTTGTCACCCCACAACCCAGGGGACACCGGGCAAACCAAGGTGGTTGGGGAAGTTTGATTGGTCATTTTTTACCATGAATGGAGGATTGTATGAAGCAGAAACGCAAGTCTTTTGCAGGGATTTATATATATATATATTCACGTCGCTTCGCGACGGCAACCGCCCGCACCGCATCGTTGGGCTCACACAGCAGAGATATATCTATATACATAAAGATCATATATGTACATATCGAGTGAACGGTCCACACTGTTAATGATGTCAGCCATTGTTCTCTTCTACTGCCATTGTTCTCTTCTATTGCCGTCGCTCCGCGACAAGAACCCCTGTGCGGCCGCCACGGTTTGAACGATGTTGTTCTCACACCTTCGCGACCGCTCGTAACTGCCAATGATGTCGGCCATTGAGACCAAAAACATCCGAAAGTACTGATTGTCGGAAAAAAAACGCGAAGAATTTGATAGCCATGTATAGCGGACCAACGCAGTTCAAAAAATAGCGAAAAACATGAAAAAACGGCGAAATTGCTGTTATTTACAGTGTTTTTGCGCGGTGAGAAGCAGAAACCACTGCAAATACCATGGTTTTTGAGGGTCAGGTGGCCAAAAACACTGTAATTTACAGTGTTTTTTTAACCAACGTCAAAAAACACTGGTATTTACGATGTTTTCATTCACACCGTAACATAAAACAGCGTAATTTACGAGGTTTTTGGAAGTTTTGAAGCTAGCCGTCAAGCATGCAGAAAACAGAAAAACACTGTAAAAACCAGTGTTTCTGCTATCACAAAACGACGAAAATCAGTCCGAAAACGGGTCCAAAAACTCAAAAATCCGCCTCCGGGCCAGGCCACCTGCGGAACCGCAAAAAAAGATGTTGCAAACCAAAAAATTGAGGTCAAAAAGTTGAAAAACACGGGTTTTTTTCACTTTTCGCTTGCCGATTTTGGACGGGCGCGTTCACGAACAGGTGTCTTCCGTACTGTTTTTTACAGTGTTTTTTGAAGGCGAGCGTCACGACCTATCAAAAACAGGAGGTTTTGGCCGAATAATGGCCCCCCCCCCCCAGGTAAACCTGTAACCTTTTACGAGTGCCATCCGGACGATCACGCCCCAGCACCTTCGGTGCGGGCGGATTTAGTGGTTTAGGTTTGGAACATTTTTTTCCCATATATTGGGAATCATAATCCCAACTGACTTTCATATTTTTCAGAGGGGTAGGTCAACCACCAACCAGTATATATATATTGCTTTATATATTGGTAGATTATCCATTTATTTACCATATATATACATATATACCATATAAATATATAGATTGGTCATGAACAAACCCAAACTTTGTTTTTTTGTCTGTTCCTGTCGCCTTCAGGAACTACATCATGTTCCGGGAGGCACGCAGCAGCAAGCGGCCTCCAAGTTGAAGTGAACCAACAGTAAGTTGGTTAATAACTCCAATGTCACTATGGTTTATGGTACGCAAATAACTATAGTTACTATAGTTACTAGGGATTATAAACCAACAAACATAGGGGGCGCCACATTGTGGCACTCCATCGTGTTTTTTAGATGGGATTCACCCCAGCGATTGTTGTGGATACAAATTGCTCGTTCCTATAACCTCAACCATTGGTTTATCCGATTTATCCGCCCAGACCAGCGGGAGCTTTCAAGAATGGTTGGCGATGCCCATGAGCAGCTATGCATCCTTCGATAGCAACTGCCGAGTTCCTTGGCATCATGTGCTGGGTACCAGCACCAAAAACGGGGTACCAATGGATTCAATGGACCCAGAGAAGGTTGGTCATTTTGAGAAAATGCGCCTGGGTCAGCCTGGGTCCAATGATTGACATCTGGTTGATGGTTTTCCTTTGACTTCGATGTTTACTTCGAAATTTGGGTTCCCTTTGACTTGACGAAACATTGGGATGCTTTTGGCGGACCCAACGAGAAAATCGGGTGGTTTCCACCCTCTTTGGGATGAGAACAGAAGGCTGGAGGTTGTCAAAGTCCTCTGCCAAAAAAATCAGCACATCTCCAAATTTGGAAATCTCAGGACAAAAAATACAGTGGATGGGCCAGCAAAATCCGAAGCACCAGTTCATAGATGGTTTGCACATCCCATGGTTTTTTGTTGGGCTTTCAACCATCCACAGTAGGATTTCGCAATGTCAGGATAGGTCAGGGTACAGTTCCAGATATCTCAGGTCATCCTTTGATACCCTCTGGTAAACATACAAAAAAACTATGGAAAATCACAATTTTTCATGGGAAAACTCACTAGTTCTATGGCCATTTTCAATAGCTATGTTAGTCATTACCAGAGGGTATCGTTTGTCACTCACCCTGCGTTTTTTGGGGCGAGGATTGGAGCGATTCGTTTCTGAACGACAAGCCTCTTCGGAGCTGGGAGGTGCGCGGATCCACTGTGGTCACTGGTCACCGTTTTCAATATCACGGTGGTTCAATTTGGATGCCCATTTAGGAAAACTCCATATATAATACTACATATATATATAACATAAATACAAAGTCCAATACATATATATATATAATATAATATAATATAATATAATATATATATATATATACACATAAATAGATAAAATACCCTGTCATTACCTTTCTGTGTACATTTGGCATTCCTTAAAGACTAGCATTTTTCGATGGGTTGAAGCCGGTCATGTTTTGGCGTAAGTTGTCTGATGAGGGATTTCTTTGAGGGCAACACATCTCTTTTCAGTACCGCCAGACTCAACCAGGATTGAAGTGATCAGGTCTTTGTCTGCTACCTTTAGATGGTCGGTACGGCCGGTATGGCTCAAAATTACAACAGCTGGTTGGTGGTTTGGAACATGAATTTTATTTTTCCATGTATATATATATATGTATGCATTGGGAATAAGAATCCCAACTGACGAAGTCCATCATTTTTCAGAGGGGTAGGTTGAAACCACCAACCGTTGAACAATTGTTGAACTCAGTTTTTTGGGGATGGTGGCAAGGAATGACACATTTATCAGGTCCATGTGGATCAGTACCCAAAAACCCATAAACGTCGCCATGCGACACTCAGACGGTTTCACCATCTCGAGCAACTTGGGTTTGTCTGTATCTGACAATTTCCTCAATTTCCATTTGGAGATTCTGATCCTCCTTTTTCTTTTCAATTTGTGCTGCAACGGAACTTTTTTTTTTTATTTTCGCAGGAGCCCTACCGGGCACATTGGTACTCCACGTCTTTTTCGGTTTTCATGGATCAAAACAGCAGTTGCGCTGACACTTGGCTGAGATTCTGGGGAGGACGTGTGGAGGTGACGACTTGGGATCCACCATTTTAAGAGACCACTTATTGATGGGGTGTGAGTGGCCATAGTTGGGGCCACACACAATTGGTTCAAAACATACCCTCTGGTTATGACTAACAGTTTGCCATGGAAAATCACCATTTTTAATAGGTAAATCATCTATTTCTATGGGCCATTTCCCATGGCTATCTTAAATAACCAGAGGGTAGATCTAAACACATCACCCTGCTTACAAGTAACGCTCCAGCGTGCTTTTAGATCTGTTTTAGGATACCATTTGATGGTCCTACTGCTGGGGGGTCTTCGGATGTACGATTCTAACCTTGACCCACCTTTTTTTTCCCGGGAACTGTAGCTGTTTCCCAAATGTTCCTCTTGAGGATATGAAGGACAAGTGTGATGACTCCACATCAGGCACAGCTGTGCAGCTGTGTCCGGATGAACCAGCTGTGATTGCCGTTTTCATGGGGATTTCATGGGTTTCAATGACTGGTTTACCGGGGTTCAATGGGGATTTCATAGGAAACACCCATGTTTTGATGGGGATGATGGATGATCAACTTCTGATAAACCAGCAAACACGGGTGTTTCCCAAGATTTTTGGACAAACCCATGTGTTCAATGACTGGGGTTCAATGACTGGTCACCCTTGGTCCTTGATCTCCGCCCTGGAAGAGCATACGAAGATATTCTGGAGATGTATAAGCAACACAATCTGCGGATAGTGGCCAAGCAACAATGAATAGTTTGTGGTTCCAACTTATCCCAAAAGTATGAAAGTCCAGCTTTTATCTATCAGTTTCAAACAGATGAGGATTTTTGAATGTTTGTCTCTGTTTTTGAAGCCATTTCCAACAGAATCGATTTTTGTTTCTTATCCCACAGGCCGGTGCCCGCATGGCCAACTTCGTTTCAAACTCCAATGACCAGAGTCCAGATGCGGGTGATATCGAACGACGTACTTACAATGTGTTGCCCCCGCCCCAGTTATAAGTTGATCTAGTTCGATATATCTACCAGGAGTCCTAGTTACCTAGTTATTAGAGTTATGTTCACGAACTTAGCTATCGAATGGGGACACCACATCGTAATAGGGTTTCAGGCAATAATATGATACATATGATATCATATGATAATGATAATATATATATAATACATTATATACAGCAAATATATATATACATATTATGATGTATCCAAAGCAACAACAACTGAGGGTTTCTATCCAACTACCACGAAACAGGGGGATTTTTCCAAACCGCAGGGCTTCTCCGCTTCATGTGCGGTGAGACCTGTGGCTGTACTTCGCCCTACAGCAATCCTTGGTATCGTGCAGCTTGGTGATGGAGATTTTGCCCGGGAAAAATGGGAGAAATATGGGGAAAATATGGGGGAAACACACGGAACACATGGAAAATCACGATGAAAAGATGATAAAACATGGCTAAAACTTGGTATTTGAGCAGGAAACGCAGTAGTTTTACCATGTTTCACTTCAAAACAGATGGGGATATGGAGGGTTCACCAGCAAGAAATGGGATGAATGATAGCGCACCAAGCAGTGATGCGGTTGGAAGAATTTTGGTCCAACGGCCACGGTGCATCACATCCTTCAGTTACACTTGGATATTATGAATCGATCATGGTGATATAATTGCTTATTATTGGTTGGTGGTTTCAAACATGAATTTTATTTTCCATTTCATATATGGGATGTCATCCTTCCCATTGACGAACTCCTATTTTTCAAGATGGTTAAAACCACCAACCAGATATTAATGCAACCATGTATGAACTGGATAAACATGTATAAATGGGATATCCAAAGCCAGGATGCCAGGTATATATGGGGTGAACTGACCCATTATGATTCCTGGGTCCCTGTCCAACATGGTGATGGCAGTCAAGACGGCTTGAAGTTTGTTGCCGAATCTGTGATTATAGAGCAACTAGCATTGAAAGCATTGATCTTTCTTTTTTGATGGATCATGATGGATCTAAATTGACAAAACACCCCAGTTTCCCGATTTCTAACCAACTTTTCCTGCTTTTTCAATGAATCAATGTGCCATGGTCGACCATCGATCGACCATGCCCAGGTAATTCAACATGGCTGCACTGGAGCGTGTATCGAAGAAGCCAGAAACGTTGCTTCACTGGCAGTTTGTGAGGAGCTGCCATGGGCCCCATGGGCACACGTCCAGAGTGGAGGGACCCAGGGACCCCAGGGTAAGGTGATCAGTTGGGTTTAGTGACTGGTAAAACATGGTAAAACCTACATGCTTGTGTCTGAAAATGGGCTATATACCCCTAAGAATTTTAATGGGATGATTTTGATGTTCAAACCATGACAATCTTGTGATAATTTTCCCGTCCAAGGCAACACCGGAAAGTGGGTCAAAACTTCGCAACGAAGTTGGCACTGATTTATTTGACATGCACCATATATTCCGATATTCCTCATATATTCCGATATTCCTCATATATTCACCATATAAGGCCCAAGTAATCATCAAACCCAAGCCATCACAGTCCAGTGGGCACCCACTTCAGCAACCAGGTTGGCGTATTTGCGACATCAATCCATCCCTGAGATTCATAAGGGCCATGGTTCACTTTGTTTTTCATCCCGTTTTTCACCGCAAATAGCGGTAGTTATGGCTTCGAAGCCATTATCCCCCTAACCGGCGAGAAGTTTATTCATGTGTAAACATGGCGACTATGCTGGACACACCCTGGCTGCATCACTTTCGCTAGGACATGGATATGACAGCTTCGCCCTGGAAGGACATTTGGGTGTGGCTCGTCTGGGGATTCGTTCACCGTAGATGAAACCAGCAGGTTGGCTGGCTATTCTTGTGTTTTTTTTTAAAATTACTGCACTAACTTTTGACTGATACCAAAATTCAGAAAGTCCATTCTGGAATTTATGAGAAAAGCAATTCGAACACTGTGGATTTCTGTAATTTCCCATGAATGCTTTCAGACAAACCAAACTTTACCTTTGCAAAGCTCCTGTTAACAGCAGATGACATCAGGGTGTGGAGGGCTCCTTAATGATTATATAATCAGCCAACCAGCCAGTTTTATTTCGACATTTCGACCTACCAGGTAACCAGGTATGATCTGGGCATGATTTTTATGGATATTTTTGGTCTCTTTTGGGCACACATGGCTGAAGATTTCAGATATTTCAGCCAGCTTCACCCGTTTTTTTTTTTTTTCGGACTCCGAAGTTGTCATCATCATGTCATGGGGGGTTCCAGTGGTTCAGTTCCAGTCGCCACTTGAGGCAGTTCTGGACTCAGTACCGCCAAGTGATCCATTCCCATGGGTGCCTTGGGCATCGGCAGATTTCGAGATTTCGACAGATCATCCCCCTGGTGATCCACCAAGTGGAAAAGATGGAGGTTGGTAACGGTTGGTATATGATGGTAGATTTATATGGTATATATATATATATGGTAAATAGATGGATAATCTACCAATATTGCAATGTATATATATATTATATATATATACTGGTTGGTGGTTTCAAACATGACTTTTATTTTCCATAATTGGGAATTTCATCATTCCAACTGACGAAGTCCCTCATTTTTCAGAGGGGTAGGTATACCACCAACCAGGAGGTGTACTGTAGGGCTGTAGGGTAAACGTTTGTGGAAATCAAGCATGTGGTTCGATGATTTTCAGGTTTCACCATAGGTTTTCCACATCGTTAGACTACCCGAGTAGGTACCCTTATTGAGGCCCGGTCTACTGTTCAACTCAGGGATCTAGTCGGATCTTCGAAAGATTCGTATCCAGTGTTTAAAACATGGTAATAATGTGGGTAAATTGATGGTTAATGATGGTAAATGATGGTCATAATTAGTGGTTAATGATGGTAAATGTGGGTAAAACATTCAAATATTGCATAAACTGGCCATGATGAAGGGTTTTTTTTTGAATCCCAGCTTTTTGCAAATGGTGTTTTTTCTGGGGGATGGTGCGTTTATGGCATTGTTTTACCATGTTTTACCCACATTCATATTAATCAAATACCAGAATACCCTCCGGTAATCAAACGGGCTTGCTGGACAATGCACCAGCATTTGGGTGTGTCTGAAAATAGTGTACCCCATTTTCCCAATGGTTTTGCTGATCATTATCCCTATAACAAATGGCTATTTCATTGGGAATATACCCAACATTTTCAGACAAATCCATTTGGTTCGATGATTTTCCCAGCTATATAAAAACATCCATTTAGTGCGGGGAGTTTCCCAGCTTGCCACGTTTGATGAGGCAGCTTGGCTCGGCCTTGAAACGTAGGTTTCAAATTCCAAGTTGTTGGTTCGTTGCAGGGTCATAGAACTTCAGCAAATCGGATAAAGGTGTCCTAAAATATCCCATGCATTTTCCCATTGATCACCAATTGTTTGGATGATAACTTGGGTGTACCTGGATTGGAACCCCCCGAATGTCAACGAAAGGCAAACCGCCACTAAGGATTGATCTTGATGGTGATGATTTCGGGTACATGAACGGTATGATTGGAAACATGACGGTGATGGGATGTGCAGGAGCCCCGGCTTTGCTGAATGGATCGAACTGGATGGCACTAGGAATTTCGATGAAATTAGGAGCTGTAGTCATAAGTTATATTCTCCAGATTTTTTTTCGGAACCAAGGAATCCAATATGATTTTCGAAATGATTTTTTCATTTTTCATTTTTATAAGTAATTCATGTTCCACGAATTTGATCCAGGAAAGAATCACCAGAAACCCTAATACCTTAACTGGGGAAAATATGAAAATTGCATCGAGACTGGCCTCGTTGGGAACATGGCCAGCAAGTTGGGCTCCAAATTTTAAGACCCCATTTCTCCAGGTTTCTTCGGCTCAGGAAAATGTTTTGTTGCGGCACCTCGGTGCTTCCATTTTGCCTCAGTTTTTTTTAAGGAAATCCGCTGTAAATCCCATGGTATTTTTCCATTGCACGCGGGTTCGGGTACACGCGCGCACCTTGAAAAGCGTCAAAGCCGCAAAGCCGCAAAGCCGCCATGGAACGCTCAAGCCGCAAAGCCGCAAAGCCGCAAAGCCGCAAAGCCGCAAAGCCGCCATGGAACGCTCAAGCCGCAAAGCTGCAAAGCCGCAAAGCCGCCATGGAACGCGCAAAACGCAAAGCCGCAAAGCCGCAAAGCCGCAAGGCCGCAAAGCCGCAAAGCCGCAAAGCCGCAAAGCTGCCATGGAACGCTCAAGCCGCAAAGCCGCAAAGCCGCCGAGCCGCAAGCTCTGCGACTCATGCGCCGCCTCCTGCGTTCATCGCCGCTGCGTTGCCACCGCCATGGATCGCTGAAGCCGAAAGCCACAAAGCCACAAAGCCGCAAAGCCGCAAAGCCGCAAAGCCGCAAAGCCGCAAGCTCTGAGACGCAGGCGCCGTCTCTTGTGTTCATCGCCGCTGTGTTGCCACATTACATGCTCGCATCGTCATGATATTCATCGCGCAAGCGCTTGCGTTCCCCTTGATGCCGTCTCATAGCCTGCCGAGCATATTCCAGCATAGCTTCTCTTCGACGGAGACTCTGCTGCTCCAAATGCTCCTGAGCTATCTCTGCAAGCTGCTGAACTGACCCTTCGTCCTCTGCAGTTGTGATGGCAGGGGCAGTAACCTTCTCGTGCATGCCTGGGTATGCCAGTGCCGCAGGCGCCAGAGCCCACTCAATCAATCCGGGGTGCTGCTCTTCAAAGAAAAATTTGAAAGGCTGTGGGAGCCCCTGCAACGTCAACAAGGACAGGCGTTCTTCACGTTTCCGTGGACCGTCATGGCTCAAGGCCCGAACCAACTGAGTAAGGTGGAGGCTCAGCGCCATGTTAAAAGCGCGGTATGTCGTCGACTTCTCGAACCACGCATCCTCTTTAGCGTATTGCCAGAAGCTATACCGCGAGCAGCATAACGAAAACACCTGCTGATTGAACAAGTTCTTGGCGTTCCTCGTAGAGTCCGGAAGACACGTCTCTGCACACTGGTTCAATGCTGTCTTGAAGCCCTTAGCCCAGTTGCTGGCCTGCTGTGAGGGCAGTCTCAGGGAAATGCCAGTGATGCGCAAGCGTGGCTTGCCTGACTTGCATTCCACCACCGATCGTCCAACTTCAGCCCCAGTCCTGCTACAGTCGCATCAGGATTTAGGTTACCCTTTAGTTTACTGCAGGGATTGTGCACGAAGATTTGAGATGTTTGGAGCAATGCTTAGGGTCCGAGTATCCTCGAACCCAGAAACCAATTCACATTTCCGAAAAATCTATTCTGACTGTGCTAGAGACCGTCTTACATATACTACCCACCCTCCTGCCACGACATTGTTTCACAGACGGTCCAAGGGCTAAACTTCCATCTCGCGCGGCCAACTTCCTACATACCTACGCGTGCGAGCGCACCATTGAAAAACAACAGACATACTCCCGTAGATGGACGAATTATTCAAACCCTTATACATATAGAGCAACCCCCCTCACCCCAAATATCAATGTTATTTTCTTGTTTGGTTCGTTCCTTCGAATGGACGAAATAAATCAAACCCCCAGAGCAGGAACAGCGCTACGAAACCATAACGTTGAAATTCCGGGGAGGTAGGGGGTGGCCTATAACTCATGGATAGGGGTTTGAATAATTTGTCCATCTACTGTCGCACATCTCTCACGTTGTCTCCGCTTGGCCCATGTGGCCCATCCATCCTATCCTTATTCCCTGCCCTCAATCCCCCTACTTGCCATTCCTCCTGTTCTTCACGATCTGCTCCAACGGGCATGCAACATGAACAGCGGCTCCTGCAAAAAGCTCAAGCGGAGTAAACCCCCACTCGTAGCAAAAGTCTCGCTGTGTGGTGATCCACACGCCGGTCACCCCGTGACTTCGTTTGGAGGACCGCAGTCCCTGCATCAATATCGTAGGCAGGATGCTACTGCGCGTCCCATGGAATCCCTGGACCTCGTTCTCGACGATCGGGGTGCCGTCCTGGTACGTGGATGCATCCAGCGCCGTCTGGAAATCCATCTTCTACATATTGAAAAGCCAGCTGATCGAAATCCAGCTTGGCCATCGGCATCTCATGGGATTCATGGGTCTCTGATGTCTTTGATCGACTCCCAGATCCCTCACATCCCCCAAAGAGCACGCCCCAACTTATTTCGAAACGCATGCAGCAGCTGCAGACCAAATTGCCGTGACTCCTGGCTCCACTCCCCCAAGGAAACAGCGCTGCGGTAATGCAGGCGCAATAGCCGCAGGGTTCCTCGTCCATGCAGAGAAGCCAATACCAGGCCTCTGCCCTCCTGAAGCCACAGACTCAGACTGCGCAACTGATCTAGCCACGTTTTCCCAGTTGCTACTGGCTTCTGTCGAGTCCTCGGCTTTCAGCGCCTCCAAAGAAGGGAACCCGAGCATCTTCGTGTATTTTTCCATGGACGACTCCATGGCTGTAAGGTTTAGAGCTAAATGCCCTAGTCCATAACCAAATGTCATTGAAACTCAGTGCCCTTACTGACATGCTAGTCCTTTCTTGTCGACATCAATCTTCTCACAAGAAAACTCTCCACATCTGGTTTTGATGCCGCACGGTCGATGGGGTCCCTTCGGGAAAGTCAATATTAAAAATCTAGATCCCTTTTCGATAAAAGCTTGCCCAAAATCTAGATCGTTCCGGAGAGAGAGGATTTCTCGAAACGCTTGTCCATCTATTCCGGAACGACTATATAGATTTACATATATAACTAGCTCTATATGCATATCCACGCCTATGCATGAAAGCGGGAAATAGATAATAATTTAGATGAAAAACTTCTAAGTGGCCAACACGAAAATTCCAAGTTACAAACCATTGACAACTACTGAAGCTCACAAAGCCAAAGCCTCAAGAAGCGCCAAAGCGTCAAAGAGTTGCAAAGCGCCACAGCGCATAGCAGCGCCAAAGCGTCAAAGACGCCAAAGCGTCACAGAGCCGCGAAGTCTCAAAGCGCCAAGAAGCGCCAAAGCGTCAAAGAGCCGCAAAGCGCCAAAGGGCCAAGAGGCACCAAAGCATCAAGAGCGCCAAGCGCCAAAGCGTCAAGCGCAAAGCGCCAAAGCGCCAAAGCGTCAAAGAGCCGCAAAGCGCCAAAGGGCCAAGAGGCACCAAAGCATCAAGAGCGCCAAGCGCCAAAGCGCCAAAGCGCCAAAGCGCCAAAGCGCCAAGCGCCAAAGCGCCAAAGCGCCAAAGCATCCAAGCGTTCAGGCTTTGAGGCTTTGAGGCTTTGAGGCGTAGGACACGCGCCAAAGCGCCAAAGCATCCAAGCGTTCAGGCTTTGAGGCTTTGAGGCTTTGAGGCGTCGGAAAAGCGTCAAGAAGCGCCAAAGCGTGCAAGAGCCGCCAAGCGCCAAAGCGCCAAAGCGCCACAGCATCCAAGCGTTCAGGCTTTGAGGCTTTGAGGCGTCGGAAAAGCGCCAAGAAGCGCCAAAGCCTGAAAGAGCCGCCAAGCGCCAAAGCGCCAAAGCATCCAAGCGTTCAGGCTTTGAGGCTTTGAGGCTTTGAAGCGTGAGGCGCCAAAGAGGCTTTGCAGCTTTGAGGCTTTGAGGCTTTGAAGCGTGAGGCGCCAAAGAGGCTTTGCAGCTTTGAGGCTTTGAGGCGTGAGGCGCCAGAGAGGCTTTGGAGCTTTGAGGCGTGAGGCGCCAAAGAGGCTTTGCAGCTTTGAGGCTTTGAAGCTTTGAGGCGTGAAGCGCCAAAGAGGCTTTGCAGCTTTGAGGCTTCGCAAACCTTAGCGGGCCTGATCCCCCATACTCTGTATTTTTCCAAAAACCCAAAAAACCATCTGTGGATATATGGATATATACTAATATCGTTATATGAATGACATATTATGGATCCTTCATGATCCAAGAATCTCGATAATATCATATATACATAATTATATATCATATAATATATATATTACCCTCTGGTTATTTAACATAGCCATGGAAAATGGCCCATTTATAGATGGTTTACCTATGTTTACCTATTGAAAATTGTCATTTTCCATGGCTATGTTAGTCATAACCAGATGGTAGATTTCTGGTGCCATGTTTCTGTGCCCACCTGCCACCCATCAAAAATTGCTGAGATGAACCACCCATCTGCCGGGCTTCCCAAAGACCATCCTTATTGGACACGGCAAAAATTGCAGGATTGCAGGTGATTCCTTGGGGCGAGGATATCGTCTTCAATACCAAGTTTTGCGAAGGTGAACCATCCGAAAAAAACTGGGGGATGGTGGAAAGGGGGCTGGAAATTCCACCCATTTCTATCCATTTCTGCTGTGCTAAATGGGGATGGTTTGTCTGAAAACCCATGGGCCCATGGGTTTACGGAACTTTTGAAAGTTGGAAGCTGGCTGGAAGACATCACCCAACATAACCCTGACCAGAATAGGCCTCTGGCATCCTCTGGCAATGATGGCATAGGATCATCTTCCATTGATGTTTTTCCCACTCAAACCTCCATTGATCTCCATTTTTTAGCAGTGGCTGCGATCTACCCCTGTTGGTTGATGATTAGTTGGGGGATGAAAAACTACCCTTCATATAATATGTTGGGGATTACAATAATCCAAGAACGGGGAATCCCTTTCTCAACCAACCAGGATTAAATGGAATGATATTTAACGGGATTTTGAACACTGCTCATATGATCAAACGTTTTCGACCAGGATCCACCAAGTGTTCTGGGGCTGTGTTTTCTTGATTACATCGACCCTTTGTTTGAAGCCGCTTTTGTTTTAATCGATCTTTCCGCATCTTCTGTTGCTTCACATGGTTCAAAACCCTTCATGATTTTTGTAGTGTGGGGCAACCCTTCATAATAAACATGAATGTTTACCTACCATGACTGGGGATGCTTCGAAAGCCATGGCGATTTGCTAGGGATCCCCTAGCGAGTTTATCCCTTTCAAAGTGGCTGGGCTTCGCAGGAATCCAAGGCACCAACCTGCCTGTAACCGCGAAAAACCAATGGCCGTGATGCATTGTGGCCATACCAAAATCATGGCCAGTGATGATTTTCAATGAAACCGGAAAGCCCCATGATCTTCATGGGAAAATCCATGGTTTCCGGTGAAGATTTTCCCTTAAACCAATCCGTTGAGATTTGTACTATATTCCTAGTTATACTCGTAACCCTGTTTTTTGAAATCGGTAGCGTCAACCCCGGAAAACGCGAAGCCACTGGGCTGTGAAACATTGGGCCTTTTGGGGCAATCAACTAGTAGCAGAGTATCACTATTTGGGGGTAAGCACCCTCAATCAAGCTGGGTATTCATCATATTCTTGGTTCTTATATATCCATATATCCACATATTCTATTGGGTTACCATTACATAGATATTAACCATATTATGATTATCACCCTAAACCTATCCTACTCATTAATTGGTATCCGTATTATACGGGGATGGGTCAAAACCTATTATTACCATATTTGGAAGAATCAACATCCATTAACCAGCTATTTTAGGTACCATCCGGGTGCCAGGGTTTTGACTCACAACCATATTTCAATTATATCACCCAATAAACCTCTCCACATACATCCATATATACATATATCCACACACACTTGCGAAGTCATGAAAGACGGTCTCTTTTCATGAATGCAAAGTCTGATTACCTCATGGTAGATTGAAGGCATCACTCGGCCATACCGAGTTAAAAAAGGCCAAGCTTATCCGTTGACATTTGAATGTCAGGTTGTTTAAAAGAGAAACCAATACGGCTCAATCAAAAGTGATCATGAAATGACTGAATGACGGCATGCAGGTTCTTGGGTTAGCCTGATCCCATAAAGTACTAACAGATACGAATATGACCACCAGCTATGACCCCAACATATTGGGTATGTCATCCAGGTGCATCATGCAGGTACGTTTTCACAACTTAAGGTGAGCGTCTTCATTGGCACAAGACTCACCAAAGGTCCTTGTGCCCCCTGCTGTGAATTAAGGTGCAATGGTATCCATAATTTATGGAAGAAAGCAGTTAAAAAAAACTAGTTGGTTGAAATCAGCCGCAAAAAGTGAGGAACTCTTCGGTACAGAGCTTGACACACACAAAAAGGCACGTAGCCGGGCTTGTATTCCTTTAAAGGCGAGAATGGAAGACATCATCAAGAGATTTGTGATAAAACCTGCAGAGGAACATTTGCAACCTCATCAGCGTGTCAGTAAATATTTTTGCCACAGCCAAAAGGTTAGGTATGCTTGAACTGCCTTCTGTACAGGACGCGTTGGCAGTCTGTTTTGGAGAACCCTTTCTGTACATACAGCTGAATGAGTTGGTTGAGATCATCACGGACAAATTCTTTGGGAAACGTGTATCTGCGAATTAAGGTTGCACGGGACTTTAGTCCGGACAAGCGGAGACGCATGCTGCCAGCAGAATGGAGATGACGAATTTCCCATAGTGGAGGTACTTGGTACCTTACGGTTTGTTGCACTACGTCAATGGTGAACCCAAGGAGTGTACCATCTTGGACGGTTTCCAACTCCACCGGCGCTTGATAAAAGAAACAATCGGAAAGCACTCGCATGGGCAGTGCGGAGCGAAAACGGTGGTCAAACAAAATGAATCTGTTGTCCACATATCTTGTGAACAGAAGCCTTTCTGTACATATAACCGAGATAGTGCGTGCAACGAACTCTGTGCTTGACAGGACGGAAATGAATATTTACGAATTAAATGAGCTCGACTCTTCAGTCCGCTCAAACGCAATCGGAGGGTTCCGGCTGAAATGATTGTTCTTTCAGAAACATCAGCATAAAAGCC